AAAGCTGAAGTCTGTCATCATTCATTTGTATCTTTTTCTTATTGATGTCCTTCTGGTTTAACTCTTTGAATATTAAACTAGGAGAGACAAAGAGAACATGAAGCATGCACTTAGGAAGGCAGATTTGGCAATGAAATCTCTTTTTGAACTAAAATACGTGGTTTCAGGTGCTTTACATTTTTAAAATATAAATTCAGAAAATATAACTGATGCCTCTAAATTCAGAGTTAAAATGACAAGCCCATTTACAGTTGTTTTGAATTATTATGCACACAGTCATTATGTTTCAGATTATTGAGTGAGTCATCTTCAAGAAAATGAGTGAATGCATTGTATGATTTTGGACAAATTAGCGTTTTTCTAACTCAATGGAGCATTTGTAGACTCAAAGCAAAGGCTTTTGTTTTGAGTTAAATTTGAAATGCTAAAGCTCTTATCTTGAGACTTGTGCTTAAGGTTAAAAGTTTGATAGTCAACTGAAAACCCTTCCCTTTTTTTAATAACCCAACCATATCCCATATTTTCTTTAAGCATTGAAAATAAAATAAAACCAACCTTTTTATCCAGAGAAGTGCTGCGTTTCAAAGCAAGGTATATAAAATCAACTTTAGGACAGTTAGCTGCTCCAATAAGGAGCTGGTTTTACATTCTCTTCAAAGACCCACTTGATTTTTTTTAAAGACTGGAAAATTAATAATTTTCAGGACATTCGAAATAACTTCAGTAAATGATCTTATCTAGTGCCAAGAAAATGAGGTCTTGGGATTTAGCTCAGGGGAAGAATGCTGTATGTTACTTTTTTCCCAGAATGTTTATTTTAGAAATGTTTATTGTTTTCTATGTATAAATGTTGTGTAGGATTTTTTTCTTAAATCAGACAATTCAGAAAGTTACAAAGATGAAATCACCTATCCTACTCTAAGAAAGCCATTCTTAGCAATTTAGATAAGTATCCTTCCTTTTGTGTGTTTGTGTGTGTATGTTTGTACAAGAAGAGCAGAAAAAGAAACTGAAACAGAGAAAACGCATACAAGCCAGAATGTACCAACACATGGTTACTGTGATTTTGTTTTTGGTTTTTCAAAAATGCTATTTTGTGACCTGCCCCTTTCATAGTTATTATAATCTTTCCATGTGAGTAAATAAAGAACAGTTTTGTTTCAGCCCTAAGATTTCTAATTCAATTGGCTTGAAACTTGAAGTAGTATTCCAAATTTAGACAATAAATGAACTAAATTTCAAATGAGGGAGGAAGGATTAGATCTTTCTTTATACTTATGGCGTATACCTTTTTAACTCCTTAACATAGAATCTTAAAGTTTGTAAGAAATTCTCAAGACCATCATTTCAGAATTTTTTTCTTTAAAGATATCACCTTATCCTTCAAAGTAAGATGTAGTATTGAGTTATATCATGATTCCTGACCGCTCTCCTTACCTTTAATAACAATTTATTAACTATTATAGATACTGTTAGAGACCTGTGATCAAATTCAAAGAAATGTCATGGTGCTATTCTGCTGTCTAAGAAACTTAAATTTAAATCAATCTGAGATGTGTCTGGTATTCAAGCATAATGCAGTGTGAGATAGCTGGATCTTTTCCCATGAGTCTTGGGGTCTGTTATTGATATTATAAATAAATAATATCAAGAAACAACTAGGGCCAGGGATTTAGCTCTGTGGTAGAGCACTTGTCTAAGAAATATGAGACCCTGGGTTGGAATTCCAGCACCACAAAAAATAGGTAAATAAAAACAGACAACTAATGTTTATACTGAATACTACTTGCAAAAAACTTGCTGTCCACTTCTAATTTGGCCTGATATCTTCTATTACAAATAATATTTATGAAATTTTTTTTTCCATTTATCAGCTTTGAAATGGCCAATCAGTTGCCACTGGTATAAGAGCTATAGATAAATTGTCAAAAGCACAGTTCAGTTTTTTCCATGCCATTTGTACTTCAACCTGGCCAGAAATTCTCAGAGCCTTGACAAAGGATATTTTTTTAAAAAGCTTCTTAACATACTCGGAAATCTGAATAGTTACCTCAAAAACTGCCAAGCGTGTCCAAGTTTTAATATGCAATCATATCTGAGATCATAAGAAATACTAGTTTACCTGCATCAAGTTGTCTAGTTAATTAAACATTTTTGGAGCGTTTCTACAGTTAAAGAAAAGAGTCAGTGCTGCCTCTAAGTCTGTTTCATGTACAGTTCCTATTACCCATAGCTCTGTGTGTTTAACACTTCTTCCTCCATACCAGCTGACTAGGTCTAGAATTTAGTCCTTTTAAATATTAGTTCCTCGTAGGTTCTTATAAGGGAAGTTGGTCTCGAATGCTCTATTCTTCCTGGAACATAAAGTTACAAAAGTACATTTGGCATCTAAATGAAAGGCATTACCTTCTTGTTATGTTAGCTTTTATTAGAAACAAGCTTTAATGTAGTCACTTCTGCTGTTTGCACTTCCCTAGCTGGGAGCATCAGAATAGACACAGAGGGGCTGGGGATATAGCTCAGTGGCACAAGCATCTGTCTGGCAAAGTCAAGTTCCTGAGTTTGATTCCCAGTATAAAGAGAGACAGAGACAGAGACAAGAAACAGAGAGACAGAGGAAGGGAGGGAAAAGGGAAGGAAGGAAGAGAAAGAAAGAAAGAAAGAAAGAAAGAAGAGTAAATAGAGATTACCATTGGAGTCTTATCTCTGCTTTGCTAAATGGGTCATTAGAACTATGTAATTATGCCTATTTTTTTCTTTGTTTACTTGTGAATACTAACAGAGATAAGAGGAAGGAGACCAGCAAAGAACTCCAAACAGAAATCTGTAACAAATATCTTGAGCCAGTTGATAGATTAGAACTATGTTCTCTTCTGAGATGAAGCTCAGGAGTTATTTTATATAGAAGAAATTACCTCCAGAGCACATTTTCATGTTTTCAAAGCATCTGATTTCTTACTGTTTACTGTTATTAACAGATAACAAGAGTAGACTGTACATTCCATGAAGGCAAAGATCATGTTTCCTCTACTGTTGATTCCTCACCTATTGCACTGCTATTGTAATATACACAGTACATGTATAGGAAATATTTCACATGAAGGTTTTCTGAAGCCATTTTACTTTATTTTTAAGGCTTACTATCATTTTGAACTTCTTATTAAGAAAGTTTCCAGGGTTGGGGATTTAGCTCAGCGGCATAAGCACCCGCATAGCAAGCGTGAGGTCGTGAGTTCAATCCCCAGTACCAAAAAAAGAAAAAAGAAAAAGAAAATTTCCAGACATACCAGAGTAAAAAGTATGTTCTTATGAACTCATTACTTAGGTTTAATAACCATCAGCATTTTCCCTGGCTTCTTTCATCTATCCTCTCCTTCCCTTCCCCTAGCTTGCATTGGAACATTTTAAAGTAAAATACAAATATAATGTCGTTTCATTAGAAATATTTAAGTAAAATATTAACCATTGTGCTATTGTCATGCTTAACAGTAAATCCCTAATTTCAATCTAAAACCCTAACTGTATTTAAGTTTTCTGAAAATACTTTTAAAACAAATAGCTGGGCATGGTGGTATATGCCTGTAACCCTAGCACTAGGGAGGCTGAGGCAGGAGGAATATATTCCTAGCCTGGGCATCTTAGCCACTTGATGAGATTCTGTCTCAAAATAAAAATAAAATATGGCTGGACTGGGCACCAGTACTTACATTCGTGTTCTTCATATACTCTTCAGTCCTTCAAACATGTTCTTCCACTTGTTACAAATTATAATAATAGCAGGCATTTATTTAACAAATATCTTGAGTCAGTTGGTGGGTTGGAACTACCTTCTCTTCTGAGATGCTCATTACTGTATGCCAAGCACTGTGCTTTACATTTGTTATTTCATAAGGCTCTTAGGATAACAGGTAAGTATTATACCTACTTCCAGTTGATTTAGTGACTTGCTAAAAGATTTATGGTTAGTGTATGAGTTGAAATTTGATGTCTGTGTGTGTGTGTGGTACTAGGAATTGAACCCAGGGGTGCTTTGTGGCTGCTGCACCCCCATACCTTCTGTTAAATTATACTTTGTGACAGAATTTCAATTGTCCTAGCTGATCTGGAACTTGATATCCACCTGCCTCAGCCTCAGCCTCTTAACTAGCTGAGATTACAAGTATGTAATCCTAGCTTGAGCTAGGATTTAAACTTAGATATCCTAACTCTTGGCTCTGTTGCCTTCCTTAGTATGCTTTAAGATGTTAATGAAATAGAATTTTAATCACTTTACATATGTTATGAGTTCCCTGACGATGGCAGAGAAAAATGATTGAAATGAAAAGCTGATTTTCCTGCTCCTCTCTTAAACAGTTCTTGGGAGAGGGGGGATCAGTAGCTTTTTTCCAGAATTAAAACGTAAATATTTTCTTTTTTTTTTTTTTGTCTTTTTGAGACAGGGTCTCGCTATGCAGTTCAGGCTGGCCTTGAGCTCACTTTGTAGCCCAGGCTGGTCTTAAACTCGAAACAATCCTCCTGCCTCAGCCTCCCAAGTGCTGGGATTACAGGCATGAGCCACCATAAAACATAAATATTTTCTAGCATTCCCTTAATATACAAATTCAACAATCAAGGAGAGAACTTCATAGAGTTTTGTGCAAAATGAAAGGGAAAGAAATACAGATTCCAAAAGGAGGCAAAGAAGAATGCTTTAAAAAAAAATAAAAGCAGTGTATAGCTGTCAGAGCATAGTCAGTCACATATGACTGTAATCTCAGGTGCTGAGAAGGCTGAGACAGGAGGATCATGGATTCAAAGTCAGACTGGGCAATTTAGCAAGACCCAAACTTAAAATTTAGAAAAGGACTGGGGATGTAGCTCAGTGGTAAATGTCAGAAAAATGATGGAGGAGGTAGAACGAAGGAAAAGGAAAGAAGGGAAGGGGAACAGCAGGCCGATCAAAAAGGTTTAAATGATCTAAAATTTCTTCTTCTAAACTTAATTTCTCTGTTGTCCTCTAGGCTGTGAGACTGGAAAGTACTTATCAAAATAGAACACGCTATATGGTAGTGGTTTCAACTAATGGCAGACAAGACACTGAAGAAAGCATTGTCCTAGGAATGGATTTCTCTTCTAATGACAGGTATGGTGCCACAAAAATAACCTGTTACTGTTGCCTTTTGACTATTACAAAACATCTTATATGGTTCTTTTTTTAAAGGGCAAAGCATGAAGAAGCCTTTATGCCTGCCTTTTCTTTCGTTTTTTTAGAACTCAATAAAAATGGGGATGGTTCCTTAAACTCAAAACAGAACCTTTTATAATTGTGCATCTTTGGATTTAGCTATACTTTATATGTCCGTAGCTAAGTAGGCTTTGGTTTTTGTTGGTTGTTTTGTTTTTAATGTCCCTAAGGTTTGAGGCTTTTTTTTCCTCTCTCTCTCTCACTGGTTGAGGAGAAACCTTGGGAAGACTGTGGAATGTGGCTGCTAAGCAGATCTTTAGACTCTGAGATAATAAGGCACAGGAAATCCTGCCAGATGTCTCAAAGCATTGACTTCCTGGTTGAGGACTAGAATGGAATTGTAGAATAGCTAGGGATGTGACCCTGGCCTAGGGGAATTTAGCCACAAAAAGAGCAGGAGGATGGGAATGATTCTGATTGTCCCGGTGTTGGTGAGTAGGACCGAAAAATCTCATTATCACTGGAAAGTTTCCCAAACCACTGTTTACCTGAGCTTGGACAGAGACATTAACATGAAAATGACTTGTGGATTCACAGGAATCACAGGCCCAGAGTTATTAGCCTGTAAATCACTTATAGCTTATAACTGTATGCTCTCAATTTACACAGGCTTATAAACCAGTTTGGGAAGCTTTCTCCATCAATTAACTTCAGGTGTTACCTAAACAACACTTCTTTAGCAATAACTTTTCCTATAAAAGCACCAACCTTGTCTACTTGTGGGTTTAGGAACTCTTGATTTGGATTTTCCTCTCTTGATTTGTATACTCTCTAATAACATTTACCACTAACCATCTGTGGATATTTAAATAAAAGATAATGATACCTACATAAATAGAATTATATGTCACTTTCTCAGTCATAGAAAGTAACCTCATTATAAATACTCAGTAGCAATTTGTGGCTAGTGGCTCCCCTATGAAACAGTAAATATGTAAAGCATTGCCATTATTGCAAAAAATTCAGTTGGATATAACTGTTCTAGAAGGTATTTCCCTCTGTTCAGTCCTTCCTGACCCTTCTTTTGAAAACATGGAGCTGCATAGAAATTTCAGTTGAGTCTTCCCCTAAGGACTGAAGGCAGTGATTCAGGTTATTCCAACCCAGAGTGTAAGTAATCAGGTGTTTAATCTTTTCTCTTTGGCTTTGTCCTAAACTTTACTAGAAAAAATACAAATGGATACCCAATTTATCCTTAATGAACCATATCTATATGCTATGATAGTCCTGCGTATGTAACAAGAACCCCATTAATAGAAAGAAATTTTAGCTGGTGGAAAACAAAAATGGAATATTTTAAACTTGATATGTACTGTGAAATTCCCATAGATCTTCTGCTTGAATAAGTCCTTGAACAGGAAGAGAAATACTGTTGCTCACATAATCTAATGTCACTTCCATCTCAGTTGTTATTGAAGAAATGTATCTTGTTTCACATCTGAAAATATACAAAAGAAGTGTTTCAAAATAGTATTCAGCCAAAGCAGAACCCAGATTGTTTATGAAAAGTACAAGTAGTTCTTCAGATATGGTACAGCCATGTCCTTTAGCCTATCTTGAGATAGGGAGGGAGGGAGGGAGAGAGAGAAGGTGTGTGTGTGTGTGTGTGTGTGTGTGTGTGTGTGTGTGTGTGTTATATTTTACCATACTGGGAATTGAACCCAGGGCTCACATTTGCTAGGCACATGCTATATACTTGAACATCCTCAGCCATTTTGTTTTGTTTTGTTTTTATTTTGAGACAGGGGCTCACTAAATTACCAGGGTTGGTCTTCAATTTGTAATATTCCTGCCTCAGCCTTCTGAATAGCTGGAATTACAAAAATCTGCTATAGGACCCAGCTAGTCCAAGGATTACTCAATGCCAAGAGCTTTAAGTTTCTGAAAATTGTGGAATGTGTGATTTGTTCAGTTCTAACTCTGAGGTTTGCATAAACATTTTGAATACCAGTAGTCTAAAAATGAACTGAAATCAAATGTAAAGGATGAGGTAAAAGGATCAAACATTGGAGACCAGCCTGGGAAACTTAACAAGACCTTTTCTCAAAATAAAAATTTAAGAAGGATGGGGACGTGGTCTAGGCAGTGTGAGGCTCTGAGTTCAATTCCAGTAAGAAAAAGAAAAAAATAAACAGTCCTTGGAAGGCAGCTAATGCTCACTACTACATTCCCAACACAGACAAAAAAGATCCTGTTTGTTTGTTTTGCCTTCCTTTGGTTTTTGAAACAGTCTCTCTGTGTACTTCAGACTGGCCTTGAACTTGCTATGTAGCCCAAGCTGGTCTGCTTTGCAGCAGTCCTCCTGCCTCTGCCTCCCAAATGCTGGGATTACAGATGTGTACCACCACGCTCCACTAAGAAACAGTCTTTGGAATTGAGTTAGATTCTATCCCTTGGACTAAGAACTACCAAATGCAAGTTAGCAGCACTCAACAGGGCATTTTAGATAGTAGCCATTTTTAAAACAGCAATATGTGAATCTCATTCAATAAGTTTTGTTTGTTAAATATATCAGAAGCTGACTAACTGTGCTCACTTCAACAGCACATACACTAATAGAAGGAACTGACTAACCATCTCTTTCAGTAGCTCCTGCGGAATATATAGAACTATCAGTAATATGATGAGAATTTCTCATCCTAATAGGCCACATTTTTGAGCTTAGAGGCTTATGCTTTGTGTTGAAAGAGTTACTAAACAAACCAGGCGAGGTAGCACATGCCTGTAATCCCAGCACTCCAGAGGTTGACGCAGCAGGATTGTTGCAAATTCAAGACCAGCCTGAACTGGTGAGCTCAAGGCCAGCCTGAACCACTTGGTGAGACCCTGTCTCAAGAAAAGACCAGAAAAAAAAAATTAATGAACAAAAGACTGCTTCCCACAATAACAGGAAGTAACTTGTGCGCTATTTCTTATCTTGCAGTAGCACTTGTACCATGGGTTTAGTCCTGCCTCTCTGGAGTGATACCCTGATTCATTTGGATGGTGATGGGTAAGAGCTTTCCCTTTTTATTCTTCCACAGCAAGCCAAGGGGTGGTACTCCATCTTAGTGACCCATTCATGCAGCTGAATGGGAGGCCCAGTGCGCCCCACTGAACTGACATGTCAACTTCTCAATGAGCCCTTTTAAACTCCTGTTTCATAAAGTAGAATAAAAATACAACTTGCCAGAGTCTCTCACTTCTTTTCTTTTAGGCCAGCTATGGTAGGAATCCAGACAAAGCAGTGGTAGTTTGTTGGCTCACTCTTTAATCTAAGCATGTGGCACTGTGGCAGCACTCTCCTAGAGGATGATGTGTTCTGTTTCAAATAACCCCTTGCGACCTCTGCCAGCTGTCAGTCTGCAGCATAACCTCTTTCCTATGCCAGTTCTTTCTGGCAACCCCATCTCCCCTAGCTCCTAGTGTTTTTAGAATGTGTGCCCAAGAGATCGATATATTTGCTCCAGTTTATAAAACCAGGGGTCAGGTTTGCTAAGAGCCAACAAAATTTCCAAATAAAAGTGCACAGCAGAACAGTTTGGCTGTAGCTATACCTAGGGAATTGTATATAATCCCATAACTTCAGTGTGGGATTCCATTCATTTTTATCTGGTAGATAAAAATCAAACAATTTGTTGAAACTTTTCAGTCAGATCCTATGCTCTAGTTCACTATGAAATGTATGATGATTCTATTAAACCAGCTGTTGCTAGCCTGGAAACAACTTTGAAAACTTACAGTTGAAATAATTTATCCTCACTTGTGGATTTCTGTCTTGTTCTTTTTTGTTCTTAGTGGGTTCAGCGTTTCAACAGATAACAGAGTTCACATTTTCAAACCTGTATCTGTGCAAGCAATGTGGTAAGGTGACTTTTACTATCTCTACAAAAAAGTGATTTTTGAACTATTCTGTTTTTTACATAAGACCAGTATTTTGTGAGAAGTGGTATTTGACGTGGTACAATGCACTGGGAAATGCTGTATGATTGTTAGTGCCTGTGGGATTTTTTTGTGATTTGTTTGTGTAGATATCATAGTTAAAGATGATCTAGAAGAGCAATTGTTAAATTGTCATAGAGAAAGACCTTGAGCACTGATGAGCAAGGAAAATTTAGAGGTATTTTTAGGCTCTGAAAGAAACAATGTATGAGATATCTGGTTGAACTAAGTATTATAGGGATATATTAACTAAGTTACTTAGCTAAGAGCTAAGTCCAAAACATCGTGGGAGGAGGGGCTGGAGAATAAGCTGCAGAGCCTTCGCACTGAGGTTCATCCCCAGTCATTTTTTTATTTTGAGACAGGATTTAGGATCTTATTAAGTTGCTGAGTTGCCCAGACTGCGCTCAGTTTTGCAGTCCTTTTACCTCAGTCTCCCAAAGTACTGGGATTGTGGTATGTGCTGTCACACTCATTTAAGAATACCTTGCGGCTATGCATTAGCTTTTGATTTTCTGAGGTAATTGGGGATAACACTAACAAAATTATATTATATAGAGAGAAATTTCCATTTAAACTGCTCATAGTATTTGCACAATACAAATAAAAGCTAGAGAAAATGTTGTTGTTCATAACCTTTACTGACACTTTTGAGTTATTTACTATGAGCCAGGCATTATGCCAGGTGCTTTACATGGGTTATATTTAATCATTACACCAACACCCCAAAATAATATTGTTGGCCTCTTACAGGTAGGAAGACTGAGGGTACATAACTGACCTGAGAGTTTCTCATTCATTTAAACAAAATAGACTCATTCTTTTGTATTATCTGGAAAATGATCTAGTATAACCAGAAAATGATGGACTCGTAGTTCAGAATTCATCCCCTAGACAGGGATTTAAATTTCAGTTTCTCATTCAGCTGCCTGTTCTGTGGTAGTAGTAACCAAAAGGCGTGGATAGAAGGTGGCAAAGTAAACTTAAGAAATAAAGGAGCTTGAAAAAGAGTTTAACCTTCCCCTCACCTCTGAAATATCTGAGGTGCCAGCCTTTGAGTGTATCATAGGGCAATTGCCACGAGTTTAAAGAAAACACACAGTGATTATTCCATGTGTCACACTAACATAGATCCTTACCTTTGAATCCGTGTAATGAAACAGATTCTTAAGAATCTAATGTACTTTGAGTAATAGAAAGCCTGTTTTAGCTTTTTAAAATAAGGGCCCACTGTGTAGCTCAGGCTGGCCTTGAACTTACTAACTAACGTAGACTGACCTTGAACTCTTGGTGATCCTCCTGCCTCAGCCTACCGAGTACTATAATAACAGGCATGTGCCAATGTTTTTGGTTTTTGAAACAGTCGCACTGTTTAGCCCAGGCTGCCCTCAAACTCATAATCTTCCCATTTTAACTTTCTTAATGCTGGGATTACAGGTATGTACCACCACTTCCAGCTCTAAAAAACATTCCTTTGTAAAGATTCTGCAACATTGTTTTTAGCAAAAAATAGACAGTTTCGTTAGTCTTAGAATGACCAAAACTGTTCATTGAAAGTTGTTTATGGGCCAGGGATATAACTCAGTTACACAGCACCTGCCTGGCAAGCGCAAGGCCCTGAGTTTGATTCTCAGTACCAAGAAAGAAAGAAAGAAAGAAAGAAAGAAAGAAAGAAAGAAAGAAAGAAAGAAAGAAAGAGAGAAAGAGAGAAAGAGAGAAAGAGAGAAAGAGAGAAAGAGAGAGAGAGAGAGAGAGAGAGAGAGGAAGAAGAAGAAGAAGAAGAAGAAGAAGAAGAAGAAGAAGAAGAAGAAGAAGAAGAAGAAAGGAAGGAAAGAAGGAAGTTTATGTGATGAATAAATGGTCCAAAGAGACTCTCCAACTAAAGCAGCAAGAATGATACATGTCTTTATATCAATACTTATGGAACATTCATGAACATGTCCTGATGACTTAGCCACATCTTTCTCTGATCTTATGGAGTGTCTAAAAAGCAAGAGAATGTAGCCTTACATGATTCTATGCCAAGGGAAATGAATCTTTGTGTATTAAATTGTTGACCTCTTTAGTTTTTTGGTGATATAACCACAGCATAGTTTCTTTTTTCTTTTTTTTTTTTTAATTTATTGGTACCGGGGATCAAACTCACAACCGCCTGCTTACAAGGCAGGTGCTTATGCCACTGAGCTAAATCCCCAGTCCTTCCCAACATAGTTTCAACTATAAGATAAATAGTCTATTTTTCTAGACATATTTTTCAGTTAAGGGTTTGAAATACGCATGGGTTACTGACTCTTTGGTAACCCACAGTCTACAGTGCTCATTTTACAGTGGAACACATCTTTCAGGTCTGCACTGCAGAGTTTACACAAGGCTTGTGAAGTCGCCAGGATCCATAACTACTACCCAGGCAGCCTGTTTCTTACCTGGGTGAGTTATTATGAGAGCCATATCAACTCAGATCAGTCCTCCGTTAATGAATGGAATGCTATGCAGGACGTGCAGTCCCATCGGCCCGACTCTCCAGCGCTCTTCACAGACATGTAAGTCAGCTTGCAAAGCTCCCTGCTGTGTCCTCTTGCTCAGCAAGTTCCTCTCCAATTTCCTCTGTGGGGAACTGCCCAGCAATCATAGTCACTGTCAATACCATACTTCAGCCAGAAGCCACCCAAAAAGACATGAAGAGTTTCACACCTGAGTATCAGAGTCTCCATAGTGAAGAACTCCAATGCCATAAAACCCATTATTTAGGCTGTACTTATTTAAAATTTGAATGTGAAGTAATTGAGCTGAAATTTGTGTCATTATCTCTGAAAGGATAATGCTATATATAATATCTCTGTAAACAAATTAATGGCAATGGCAAGAAGCTTTGAGAGAGATGCTTGTAGTACTTAAGAAAATATGATGTTTCCAATCAATTTAAAAGAATAATTGGTAAGCAAATTTTAAACTTTATATTCAGATTTACTTTCTGTTGAGATTTTTTTTAAGGACAGCCTTAACTCTGCTACACTTTGCTTTAAGTCCGTTTCAATGAGATTTTTATTAAATCTTCCTGCTGTACTCTAAGTTGGATAAGTACTAAGGTGGAGCTGATGCTTATTTCCTTTTTGGGATTATGAAATTTATGAAATTTTTTATACTTATTTCCTCCGCTGAAGATTACTCAAAATGTTTATTTTTCTCTGAATTAATCTTTCTGTACTTGCAAGGTATTCTACAGCTAGAACAGAATAGCTATCTGACCTTACAAATAGGATTTTGCTTTACAATTCCTAAAGTCATACCAGAACAGTTCATGGTTTGTTTTAAAGGCTTTAGTTAGATAGTACTCTAATAAATGCATTTTACTAAAAAAGGTGAAATTTGTAACAGTTGTGTACATGAAACAATCCCAGGAAGTTATTAGTACTAGAACTTTTTTTTCAGTACCCTAGTCCTTTCAGGATCCCCTAGTAGTAAAGATACAAATCTGTGGAAAATATTATTCATGATTTTGTGTTTTATACCTGGCTAATGAATTTTAAAGGACTGGATGTCTAGCTAGAGAAAATTTTGAAACTATGATACACCCCCAAAAAACTGACAAATAAATTGCTGATAATCTCTCTACATTCATGAGCAAAAAAAAATGTAAGAGATAGCTCCTAGCATCTAGTAAAGCATCAGTGAATATTAATTCTTATGCATACTATAATACCAGTTTTAGATATGTTTAATAAGTAAACGTCTATCTGTTCATATGAAAAGAATACATGGAAGCTATAACTATTAATAATTATTTTTAGAGAAACATTTTTCTTTATATTTTTATATATTTTCCAAATTTTTTCCATGAAAACAAAGAAGAAAAAGTCTGTATGTGTGCTGTAATGTGTTTTCCATCCCCTTCATCCTCCCAAAACTGACTAGAAAAGCCTATGAAAGAATGCTGAGTACAGAGGGATGACGTATGCTACCTTGGGCTTACATGCTTTACTATGAATAGTTTATATTTGAAATTCAAAGCAAGGAGGAGAGAATACATGTCTGTAATATCTTTAGGATACATCTAATGCTATGCCAGACACTTCATGTATGGTATCTCATTTAACCTTCATAAGAATCTCAAGACACAAGTATTAATACTGCCCTTACTTTATTAAAAAGAAAACAGACACGGGGAACAGGAAAAACCTTTTCAAGGTTGTATCACCAATAAGTAGCAGAGGTAAAATTGAAACCTAAGTCTGTCTGTTCTCAAACAACTTTGTCTCAAAGAAGCACGAAGGATTGAAAGAAATATTACTAAGCCAAATATAACATTTGCACACAAGTGCTAAAATTTGTTTTTACCAATGTCTTTTTAAAAGAATACTAAAATTATACATTTAGTTTTTATCATTAGCTATGCTAAGGAAAAGTGAAGCAGAGATAAAAAAAAATTATTCCTAGTCAAGACAGGGCTACCTTTGCTGACTGATGGGAAAATGGCTCAGGTATTAGTATATTTTGTATTCTGCAGAGTTCATGAGAAGCTAAGAACACAAGTGATGTGGAACTTCAAAGCTATGGGGTTAGAGCTCCATTTTTGGAAATTACCAAAGCTATTTTTGCAGCCAGTGATAAGGCTGTAGGCAGCAAGGGCAGGCAGGATGCCTGAAGCCTTAGTCTATTTCCATCTCCAAATAAGGAGGTAGAGAGCAGATATCTTTCTTTAGTAGGTATGGGGAAAAGGTGAGGCAGAATGTGCTTTCGGTCAGCTTTACTCATATACTACATAATGTGAAATAATGCCTTTAGAGAGAAGCATCCAGTTACATTGAGCCAGTACCTTTCTAGTAATTGGCCAGGTATATTCAAGTTCCAAGAGTAATTTTATTTTTAGGAGATTCAGGAGACTGAAGAAAACAACAAAATCCTGTAGGTAGACTCTTGGAATGGACTGAATCAGCATTTTGGGTTTCCTGCCATTTGGTATAATCATCAGCATGTATTTTCATGTGTTTGTTTCCTTTATCTGTAAAGTAAGGATAATGATTTCACAGATCCTGTAACAGTTGTCATGAAAAGGAAAGCATGTTGATGGAAGTACTGTAGGTAACTGATCCCTACAATCCAATTGAGAGAGAATTTGCCTTATTGAAGAAGGCAAGACTACTCTTCCTGCTTGTCTATTTTTTAGAACTACAAAAATGAATTAGCATACAGTGGCATTTTAAACTACAAAAACCCAATTCAAAAGTGGGTCTACCACCACTGTACTCTTAGTAGTCTAGCTCAGTAAGTGATACCTAGCTGTACTTGATGCAAAAGTATGGAAGTGGTCTTCCATTCAAGAATACTTCTTTTTTTTTTTTTTTTTTTTTTTTGTCTTTTTCGTTTTTATCGGTACCAGGGATCGAACTCACGACTGCCTGTTTGCAAGGCAGGCGCTTATGCCGCTGAGCTAAATCCCCAGCCCCTCAAGAATACTTCTATCCAGAATATTCAACTTGTCTTTGCTCCTTCGTGGATTTATACACATGAATATATTTGGTGGTTTAAAAATACATATAACAGGGGCTGGGGATTAGCTCAGCAGCATAAGCGCCTCCCTGGCAAGTGCAAGTGTGAGGTAGTGAGTTCAATCCCTGGTACCAAAAAAATATATATGTATATATATAATTTTCAAGTAACAATTTCTACATGCTGTATTCAGTACATTCTTAAAAGAAACTTTTAAAAGCAAAATTTTTATTTGCCATGCCTGCACAATATAAATTTGAGGATAATAGAGGCAGAGCTTGCCAGTTTAGAAACATAATAAAATGGTATATTCATTAACTTGTTTCCTCTGTAAGAAAATTCATTATTTCTCTGTCCTCAGACCAACAGAACGTGAACGAACAGAAAGGCTAATTAAAACTAAATTAAGGGAGATTATGATGCAGAAGGATTTGGAGAACATCACTTCCAAAGAGGTAAGAAACCCTGACTTCTCAGCAGTAGGATAACCATAATTGTGAGACTAGAAATGGTACATGGTTGGAAGTACAAAGAGACTTTATGGAGATTAGTACCATATGTCATTTTCATTTCAGATACGAACAGAGTTGGAAATGCAAATGGTGTGCAACTTGCGGGAATTCAAGGAATTTATAGATAATGAAATGATAGTAATCCTTGGTCAGATGGATAGTCCTACACAGATATTTGAGCATGTGTTCCTGGTAAGTTTCAGGGTGGCGTTAGGTAATATGCTGAAGCTGGTCTGTATAGACTCATGGGGGTTTAAAGCTGTGTTAAATATTATTATATTTAAGGAAAATGTAACCTACATACTAAACAAAGGCAATAAATACTGAAATCTCATCACTCCCTAATTATGTACTACCTTGTAATATTATCTGTGGTTTTAAACTTCCTTATATCTCTCCTGTGGTAGCAGCTGTGTGTAATGATATACTACTACTGCTCTCTTCCCACTGGGTAACATCAAACTGGTGGGTTAAAATTGACTATAACAAGAATATTTACAACAAGGAAACTGACAAATACTACAAATCAGACTTTTCCCCTACAGGTTGTAAAATATATCATTTATTTTTCATATTACTCAGTCTGCTATAGTTTTGTACATTAGTTTTATAGTTTATAGTTTTGTACAGTAGTTTATAGTATATCTAAATAACATGATGAGGGTGGGAGACTGGAAGTTGAACGCATGTTAGCAAGCACTCTACTGCTAACCCACATCCCCAGTCATAAATAGGATGATCATTAAAGTCCTTTTACGTCTGCCAGATGTCTCCAGGTCTGATATATTTGAGCAGAGCATGTAGGAATTACAACTGAGAAGCTATTGGACTTATTTTTATGGTGCTGGGGATCGAACCTAGGACCTCTTAATTGCTAAACGTATGTTTTACTACTAATCTACATCCCAGCCCAGGACTCTTAAAGCATGCAGTTATACACTTTGAATATCCAATCACTTTCCATAATTATCAAAAAGTCAGTGACTAAAAGTTTTTCTTTACAGTTCCCAAACATTCAGTGACTATAATTAGCCCAAGGCAACCTCTCTGACAGACAAGTTAGGAAAAACTGAAAACCATTTTATTCTCAAATGTTGAAGTGTTCTAGTTTTCATGTATATATGATAGCAGGAACAAGAATAACAAGAATAATTAAAATCTATGAGGAACCCTAAAACTTTATTTCTATTTCCACTCCCCCCACACACTTTAACCAAAAATGTTAACAGGAGCAAATCAGTTGGTTTGAATTTGATTTGTTTCTCTGGTAATGACATGAAGTTCAAAAAGGTTAGAAATTGGAAAATATGTAGAACTTTTGCAAATGGGAAAGGGAACAAGAACTGGAGGGAGCAAGAAAGGATGGGAAGGAAAGGGGACAAATGAATTAAGATGTGTTACATACATGTACAAACTCACCACAATAAATGTAATCATTTTGTACGGAAATTATGTACTAATAAAAAAGAAAAAAAACTGGGAAATATGAAAGAAGAGGAATAAGTATACAGGAAAGATCAACTCACCCTCAACACCCAAGAGTTTATTTTGCCAGGCAGTCAGATTGTGTGCCATTGAAGGCTTATACCGAGTTAATCTGGTGGCGTGAATGTCTCTAACGTGATTCACAGTGAACTAAAGCTATGAAATTACTCACACACAGTTTGGAGGGAGACTTCTTTGCAGTACTTTCAGTTGTCCTATGTATACTGCTGTTTCCGAATGTGGATCATGCCACACTGTTTGTCTCTGAGGTAAACTTCGATGCAGGTTCGAAGATATCCAGCTCTTACATTGTACTACCTGTAGAAAACTTAGAAATCATTCATTCATTTAGGCTCTGCCCCCAACTTTCTTGAGTTCAGAGCTTGGATTTTGGCACCTTAAAAGGATATGAACATGACAAATATAAAATACAGCCAATTACTGACTGGTCAACCTATTTTATTCTGTACATATTTCTCTAAGTCTGCCACTGCTTCCTCCAGAACTACTTCCTCTCCTCCTCCTCAAATGGTATGAAAGCAAGTTTTAGTAGTACTCTAAGTAGAAAAATAATGATTCCTTCAAATTTATATTTCCATATCAACTACAAATGTATCTGTAAATTTATCTTATTACTTCATAATTCTTTCCCAAGTTTTTCTCTTACTGTGAAAATAATTTATGTGTATTGTAAAAAATGTTGAGGTGACAAGAAGTAACATTTAATCATCCTTGAAATAGATAATCATTGTGACCTTTTGTTATTGCCTTTCAGCAATTTTTACATATATGTGTGTGTTTACACATATATATAGATCTTTTGTAGAGCAGTTTTAGATTCACAGGAAAATTGAGAAGAAAGTAACGAAGAATTTCTTCTGCCCCACACATGCATAGCTACCCGCATGATCAAATTCCCCCTCAGAATGGGATATTTGTTAACAACTGATGGGCCTATATTGGTATGTCACTCAACCAAAGACCATCACTTACATTAAAATTCACACACACACACACACATACACACACAACTGCAAAATCAGGCGAGGGATTTAGCTCACCAGCATAAGCGCCTGCCTGGCAAGCGCAAGGGTCTCCAGTACCAAAAAAAAAAAAAAAACAGAATTCACCTTTAGTGTTTTACATCATATGAGTTTGGACAAATTTATGACAACTATTCACCACTATAGTATCATACAAAGTTTTTACTTTTTAAGTACATATTTATGTACATAGTTTTGAGCAAAGGAAAGTATCTTCAACCTCAAATATAATTCTGTTTTCTAGAAAATGGACATTTTCCTTTTGTTGTGAACATTTTTTAATTTAGAAAAACATCTTCCAAATTGGAAAATCCTGAAATTTAACTCCTGTCCAACAAAACAAGTACAAAAACAGGTTGTCTAAACATATTATACTTTTTCTTTTGTGGCGTCCTCTCTTTGTTTGCACTGCCATATCCTATGTCCAAACCCTTGTCTCTTCTCCAGTGACTTTGTAAGCTGCTATCTTTCCCAGCAATTGACATGGAAAAAGAAGTCTTATCCTAGCTGCAAGTTGTGGTGTTAATTTTCAGAGTCGTCTCATCTTGTGCATAGCTGCCGTGCCTGGAGCTCGACCAGATTGTGCAAAGAGGCATCAGGATTTTCCCCTCCCTTTGGAAGAATGCTCAGCTCTGCAGTGTACTGCACAGAGATCTATTTATTTGAAAAGGGATCCAGAGAGAACATGAAGAACATAGTTTAAAGAAAATCTTTAGTGAAAAGAGAAGACATTGATTGGTGGGAAGCTAGGATATTAACTAGAAAAAAGATTCCTGTACACCATTACAAGTATATGACTTCTCTGAGCTGGAAGCCTTTGCTCAGCCAAATTTCAATATCAGCAGCTTTCCTGGAGGCTGTCCAGTCTGGCTGAGAAAAGCTGGATGTGAACAGAGACCCTTTACAGAAAAACAGGCTACTTTTTTTTTAAACAAGGGAAACACAAGAGTATTGGACATGCAACCAGTAATTTTACTGATGAATAAGAAAAATAGAATTTTTACTGTGGATTATTTTTCAAGATTTGATAAAATCTTTTTAAGAGTGTTGCCTCAAACTGGTTATTTTACTGGAAGATGCAGAGAAATGGAGAATATATGAATAGATGAGATGATAATGAAGTGGATTATTTTTATCATCATCATGGTTTTTGTCTCTCCACTGAAAATGTGTGGCATAAAACTTCTCTTAAAAAGAAAAGTTAATAGAGAGCTTATGCCTGCTTACCATAGTAATGTGACTTACAACATTGAGGATATCAGTATAATATGATAAAGAAAATAGAGATACCAGACCTTGGCAATTATGTCATGTTGTTTTTATCCTAGCAGAACCCTCAGTACAATGCTTATTTGCTATAAATGTACTCTCCTATCTTGCTTGGAACAGTAGACCACAGCAAGGCTATTTCCTGAGGATAACATTTGAAAGAATCAGTTACTTGGATTTGTAACCAGTATACAGTGTGAAGGAACCAGGGTGAAAGATGGAAGTGAACTTACTTAAAACTATAAAGAGCTGGGGATTTAGCTTTAGGCAATGGTACAATACTTGCCTAGCATGTGCAAGGCCCTGGGTTCAATCTCTAGTACATAGAGGCTATATTTTTGCATAGTTATGGTACACAATATAATGGAAACTTATATGGAATCATGTCATTATAAACTTGAAAAGACAGAGGTTTAAAAAAAAATGATTGGGTCTGTGGATAGCCCCAGGAGGCTAGTATTCATAGTATTTGTGCTGGTGACAGAAAAGTAGTAACACCAAGTTGACTCTAGTTCTTTCAAATTGAACCTGAAGCAGCCCTAAGCACAGTCCAAATCACGTTATATGGACTTCACTGAGTCAAAGACCAGTGCCTTTAATTTATTTTGACTCTGAATAGGAGTCACTCCACATTGTCAGAATGAATTCTGTTTGGACAGGTAGATAAAAAACCGTGGACTTTTCTCATCACTTCAGGATTTATTTCCATCCACCTGGACAGAGTTCAACAGAGGATTTAGGTTTCTAAATTAAGAAGTGAAATGGTCACATTGCCCAGACTCCAGTTTAGCCACTTGACCCTTATTGTTTGGTATCTGTCTCTTTAAATCCTATGCAGTTCTAAAAAAAAAAAAAAAAAAAAAAAAATCCTATGCAGTTCTTTGGGGTTTGAGGCTAATTTTCTAAGGCTGAACACAATGCCTTCAGAGCCATTCATGTTTTTTTAAATAACTCAGCCTTTATCTTTAGACATCTTTCACTGACCTTTTCCTAAATGGAGCTTCAGCAGAATGTCCTTGAGATCTCCCAGTTTAACAGTCAGATTTCAGATCACTTGTAATGTGATCATAGTGTTTAATAACAGTTGACAGTTTTCAAAGGGCTTCTTTTATGTATTTGATCACTCATACAACAAACATTTGTTGATCCTCTGTTGTGCCAGTCATGAGACTAGGCATTTGTATGGTCTCATCTAATTCCAAAAAGGAGTCATGAGCATATCAGAGATGCAGAGAAGGCCAATGGAATAGGATGCAGGGGTGACCGCTGACTAGACGATTAGGAGAGAGTATTAGTAATGTTAGCAAGCATGGTCAGAATAGAAGCCAGAGTGCTGTGGGTGGATATTTGGGAAAGAAAGAGGTGGAGAAAGTATTACACTTTATTTCTACAAATCTTACCTATGAAGGGAAAGGAGGAATATTTGGAATGGAATTTTTCCATTGTAATGTGTGATCCATTTTATGTATATAATTATAGGAGAAGTTACCCATTGAAAACAAAAGACTAGAGCAGGAAGTATATTCCATTTTACAGATAAGGAAAGAGGATGCATATAGTTTAATCACTCTTTACCCGTAGTAGAAAGACAAACAGAACTTGAACTCAGGTATTCTGATGCGAAATTCCATTACTGCATTTAGTTCTGAAATAGATGTAAGGGCCAGGGATACAGCTCAGCGGCACAAGAGCCTGCGTGGGTAAGCGAGAGGTTGTGAGTTCAATCCCCAATATCAAAAAAAACTTTCTTGAAATAAATATACTCTTAAATTAAAATGATTACCATTTCAGATGATATGAACAGATAATTCAAAGACAGAAAACTGATCTAAATATTAAAACTTTGCTTGCTTTTCCTTGTGTTAGAAATATACATTGAAACAACACTGAGATAACATTTCACACCTTCCAGTTTGACATAAATTCAGAGACCACATTTTGTTGATAAAGCTACAGGGAAGTGGAATACTCATTCTGTACTGGTGAGAATATAGAATTGTTCTAATCTCTGTAGAAGAGAATTTAGCACAGTCACCCGAAATTTCATTTAGCCTTTCACTCCACAGTCTCACTTCGCAGATGTTAAACATTATTCATAGGAGACTAGTTGAATATAGCTAGCATATCACTACCTAATGAAGTACTATATAGAAGTTTTATATATATAAAATAATATGAACTATTATATGGGATAGTTTTAAAGCTATTTTAGAAAAAAATAACAAAAACAAATATGCAGTATAATACTTTAAGAATTGCTAATTAGTAAGAACTAATTTGATATATTTTTCAAAATAGATCGTAAGACAAAAGGTATATACAGATACAAAAAAACAGAACTTAAGTAGGATAAACCAGAAATTAATGAAAATGGATACCCATGGGAATTGAAGATAAATCAGTGGAATTGAAGATACATAAATAGAAATGAGACTTCCAAGCTAACTTTTAAGTAACCTTTTGACTATTAGCTGTGCTCAAAAAATTAAATAGAAACAAATGGGAAAATTGTTTTTTAAAATCAAATTCAGAATTCTAAAATACAAACATGAGACAAATGTATATCAAGTTGATGAGTTCAGAGAAAGAAATTAAAGTAACTGAAGCATGAACTTTAATTATGCCTTTATTAGTACATGACTAAGAAAAAAGAAAATTTGAACTTAATAGGTTTGTTGTTGGTTATGGTGTTGGTTTAATAATGTTGACTCTATTTTGTAAATGAGGTACTGGGAACCAAGGATCTCAGTGTAGATTACCAAGATACAAATGGTGGGCAAAAGAAGCAGGTATGCTAGCACACTTTCACCCAGCACTTGGGGGTCTGAGGTAGGAAGACCAAAAAATTGAAAGTTGGCCTGAACTGCATAGGGACCCCTGTGTGGCAGATATATAACTAGATAGATGATAGATGGCATAAAGAGCAAGAGGGTAAGGAAGAACTCTGTGGTGGTCAGCGTGGATTGGAGATAACAGTGCAAACTCTGTTTTTTGTTTTATGTTTTTTCCTTTCTTTACTGGTGATTTGAAACCAGTGGTATTCTACCACTGAACATTCCTAGTCCTCTTTATTTTTATTTTGAAACAGGATTTTGTTAAATTGCTCAGGGCCCCTAGAGCTTGTGACCCTCTTGCCTCAGTCCTGAATAGCTAGGATTATAGGTATGTGCCACCATGCCTGGCTTAAACTCAGTATCTTTTTAGAAATATTTGTCCCTGAAGTTTTAAAAGCAATGATACCTGATAGTTGTAAGCATACCAGATCTTGATTACAAAGTATCATTCTTTACTAAAAGAAAACAGAGCTTTTTGAGGAAATAGTGATTCTACTCACAAAGTGAATCTGGAACAATTTTTTATACCAGAAAGCAAAGAAATACTGAAAAACTAATAGGGCCATATTAGAATAAACCAGCCTGATGAGATTTCTACTGGCCAAACTCAGGACAGGTTGTCACATAGTGATGTTAGTGAATCATAACACTGTACACAAAACAATGCTAGACTCTAGCCCAGTGATACTCAATGGTAAAACACTTGCCTACCATGCAGAGGCCCTATGTTCAAACCCCAATAACATTAAAAAAAAAAAAGACATAGAAACACTCAAAAAGAAAAAGCAAGAGGAATAAAACCCTGTTTTAGCTGGGAATTTAGTGAGCGGCATAAGCGCCTACCTGGCAAGCAGTAGGTCATGAGTTCTATCCCCAGTACAAATAAGTAAATAAATAAATAAAGCCCTGTCTTACCACTTTATAACCTGCAGTAAAATAATTGATTAGGGCAAGATCAGCAATTGATACTAAACCAAAGAGTAAATGTTATTATAAAACAGTATATTCATACAACTTCAAAAATGACTAATACACATAGGTTACTAGTTAATTATAAAGGAATCTCCAGTAGAGAAATGTGACAAACACAAAGAGCAAAGAGTTCAAACTTGGTGTGTCAAATAATGGGACAAATGACATTATCTGCCTCCTGATTTGATGCAGTAGAAGGTACATATTACCACCTTTGTAAGTCTTGCCAAAATATTTGACTTTAACCTAATCAGGAAATAATCTGTAAAGAATTCTCAAAGATAATAGATCTTAAATCTCCAAAAATGTCAGTATCATGAAAGACTCTGCACTGGAAAGGCAGGGATGGACCCTTCTAATTTAGAAGAAATTATGAAGGTGTGGCAAGCATGTGCAAAGTTTGATCCTTAATTGAGCACATATAAAGGATATTTTGAGGACAAAATGGAAGTTCACATATAGACAGTATGTTTGAATGTTTTGTATTAGTGTTATACTACTTGAATATTATTGCATCGTGTAAGAAAACGTTCTCAGATGATACATGTTCAAAATTAAGTGTCATAATATTTAAATTGCCATCTTTGATAAAATACAATGTATGATAAACAGGCATATAGTGAATATCTGTAATCCCAGCACTAAAATGGCTGAGGCAGGATTGCAAATTCAAGGCCAGCCTTAAGGCTCCCCTGGATTAAATAGCAAGATCCTGTATTGTTTTTAAGTGATATATATTGAAAGAAAAAGGAAAGATGATAATGTAAATGCAGCAAAATATTACAATTGATGTCTTCCAGCTAATTTGTAAGTTTGCCGTTTATCCCTGTCTTAAAATTTTATACACTGGGGCTGCGGATTTAGCTCAGCAGCATAAGCACCTGCCTTGTAAGCAGGCAGTCATGAGTTTGATCCCCGGTACCGATAAAAAGGAAAAAGACAAAAAAAAAATTTTTTTATACATTGCATTTCTACTTTTGTTTGATAAAGGATATTTCATACTTTTCCATCACATGCACATATCCTGCCCTCCAACTCTAGATGCAATATAATGCACCAAAAAAATATGAGGTTTGGAGTCAGATCTAGGTGAATTCATAAACATGCTATGTTCATTTGACAAATGTTTATTGAGTACCTCCCAGGTGCCATACATAGGAAGCAAGAGATCTGGTTTCTACCCTCAAGAAACTTACATTACAGTAGATAAGATAATTAGGAAATAAGAATGCCATAGAAATATATGTAAGTAAAAAATGTGATACATGCTTGAGCAAAATACATTGCTGTGACAGTAAATAAGATATCTGGGGCTGGGGATTTAGCTCAGTGGCATAAGTGCCTGCCTTGCAAGCAGGCAGTCGTGAGTTTGATCCCCGGTACCGATAAAATAGAAAAAGACAAAAAAAAAAAAGTAAGATATCTAACTTAGGTTGGATGGTCAAACACACTTCTGCTCTGTCATTTTGAGCAAAAATGATCTGAATTTTATGAAGGTCACCTTTGTTACCTGCAAAAATGAAAATGAAATTAACTTTTTCTCCCATGCTAGGGATTAAACTCAGAACCTCATACACATATCTATCCATCTATGTATAGAGAAGGTCTTGCTAAATTGCCCAGGCTGGCCTTGAATTTGAGATCCTTCTGCTATATCCTCCTGAGTAGCTGGGATTACAGAAATTCACATTATGAGCAGTGAAGATAACTTTCTTACTCTGTCAATCTGTGAAATTTTTAAGAATAGCAACATATAAACTACCTGGAGCAGCATAGAAAGCACTGAGTAGATGTTTTTGGCCCATTTTAAACTCCACTGCTTCCCTCATAGTACTCCTTTCAAGTAACTGTATTTGATTGATTTCCTCATAATCTCTAACCTTTCCTTCTTCATTCCATAGGGCTCAGAGTGGAATGCTTCCAATTTAGAAGATTTACAGAACCGAGGGTAAGAACACAAAGCAGTTGCTGACATCTGACAAAAGCCTCTGTTTAATCTTTACATTTTCCCATCAAAGAAGCACCTGCCTTGCAAGCAGGCGGTTTTGACTTCAATCCCCAGTACTGATAAAAAGGAAAAAGACAAAAAAAAAAAAAAGAATACATTTTCCCATCAAAGAAGTATCAGTGGTTAACTTTAATCTCAAGGTTTATTTCCCTTGTTATAAAAGAATAAAAATAAAGATAACTGTTGTCTATTTCATCTTCCTAAGAAAGATCAACTGAGTTACGGGGAGAGAGAGTTGGTTTGGTTTGGTTTGGTTTGGTTTGGTTTGGTTTGGTTTGGTTTGGTTTTTGGGGACTAGTCATTGAACCCAGTACCTTGTGTACGCTCAGCAAATGCTCCACCACTAACCTCAATCTCTAGTGTTTTTGTTTTTGTTTTGAGACAGGGTCTTACTAAGTTGCCCAGGTTGGCCTTAAACTTGCTATCTTCCTACTTCAGCACCCTCAGTAGTTGGGCTTACAGACCTGCACTACCACACAAGGGAAGATCGTTTAATAGAAGGGCTTCAAAAGCAAATGTCCAAGTCTTTGGTGTAGTTTAAACGCAGATGTAATTTTGGGTTCCTGTGTTACGTAAGAGCACATAAAACTTCATATTTTGGGTTTACAGAGCTGTTCATTCAACATTTATTGAGCATCTTCTGTGGGTCAGGTACATTGTTCAGCTACAAATCCACAGACTAAAATTAGATTCAGCCCCTTTCTTTTTGTCTCTTTCTAGTTTGAAGACTAAATAGGTTATGAATATAAAATAAAATTGAATAAGAAAATGTACCTTGTATTTAAAAAAATTGCCGGGGCTGGGAATTTAGCTCAGTGGCATAAGCACCTGCCTTGCAAGCAGGCAGTCCTGAGTTCGATTCCCAGTACCGATAAAAAAAAAAAAAAATTGCCCCGTGTCAATGTGGTTATTAAGACTGTTCAAATTGAGACTACAATGAATATTCAACAAACAAAAATATTTACTCTTCCATTTTTAATTCTTAGCTAACGCAGCTACATTTCTCAGTGAACTTCACTTTAGGAGATCATTCCATTAAAAAAAGAATTGGGCTAGGAATGTGACTCAGTGGTAGGTTAGTACCTCCCTAGCATATGCAAGCTACTAGGTTCAATCCCCAGCACCACAAAGAGACAGAGATGGGTTACAAAATCAGCACGCAGAAATCAGTAGCATACCCTTACACCAATAATGAAATCAGGAAAAAAATTCCATTCAAGATACCTTCAAAAAATTAAATATCTAATCTTTAAGAATCAACCTAGCCAAGAAAATGAAAAACTAGTATAATAAAAATTACAGAACTTGTTCTTGGATCAGCAGAATTAATACTTTCTATACGGCCATACTACAAAAGCAAACTATGTTTAATGCAATCCCTATTAAAATACCACCAACATTCTTCACAGAACTAGAAAAATCAATCCTAAAATTCATATGGAACCAGAAGAGATCTACAATAGCCTAAGCAATCCAGAGTAAAAACAACAAAGCACAAAGTATCACAAGACTGGATTTCAGGTTATACTACAAAGCTATAGTAACAAAAACAGCATGGTACTAGAAGAAAATAGACTTGTGGACCAATGGAGTAGAACAGAAGATACAGAAGCAACCCCATGAACTTTCAGTCATCTGATTTTTATAGGCCAAAACATACATTGGAGAAAAGATAGCCTCTTTAACAAATGGTACCAGGAAAACTGGTTATCCACATACAGAAGACTGAAACTATGTCCGTATCTCTTACACTATACTAAAATCAAAATGAATCAAAGCCCAGATATAAAAACAAATTTTGAAACTACTTGAAGATAACAGGAGGAAACACTTGAAGCCATAGCCACAGGCAGTCCTTCCTGAACAGAGCTCCAGTAGCACTGCAAATAATACTAAGCATCAGGCATGTGTGGTGGCACACACCTATAATCCCAGCATCCTAGAGGCTGATGGAGGAGGATCACAAACTTTAGTCACAACGTAATCAAGACCCAGTGTCAAAATAAAAAGAGGACTGGATGTGGAACTCGGTGTGAAAGCCCTGGGTTTAACCCCTATAAAAATAAAGAAACAAATAGATAAAAATTTAGAAATAAATCAACAAATTGTATATCTAATTAAAAGATTTCTATAAGACAAAGGAGCAACAATCTACAGAAAAGTAGGTTACCACTTATCTAAAGAACTAATATCTAAAATATATAAAGAACTTAAAAAATTAAGCCCCCAAAATAAATGGTGCAATCAAAAAGTAGTTAAATGAGCTGGGGATTTAGTTCAGCGGCATAAGAACCTGCCTGGCAAGCATGAGGTCGTGAGTTCGATCCCCAGTACCACAAAAAAAAAAAGTCAAATGAACTGAATAGATACTTCTTCAGCTGGGGATTTAGCTCAGCAGCATAAGCACCTGCCTTGCAAGCAGGTGGTCGTGAGTTCAATCCCCAGTACCGATAAAAAATGAAAAAGACAAAAAAAAAGAGTGCAGATACTTCTTCAAAGAAGTACAGATGGCTAATAAGTTCATGAAAGAATGTTCATCATTTTTTAAACAACTTTGTCGAAATATAAGAGGCATACAACAAATTGCACCCCAAAAAAGTTGCTCATATACTAAATTTATAATTTGATACATTTTGACATAGGTAAATACTTATAAAGCTATTACTTTATATATTGGGTTTCTCATATAAGATAAACCATATGATATTTAAGCTTCTGTGTCTAATTTACTTAGCATTATGGTCTCATGGTACATCCATTTTCCTACAGATGGCTCAAATGTATCCTTTATGACAGACTACTACTCCCATTATTTATAAATGTCACTTTTTCTTGATCCATTCATCTGTTGGTAGACATATACTCTGCTTCCAAGATACAGCTGTTACAAACGTTAATGCTACAGACATGAGTACACATGTATCACTGTAATATAAGTCTTTCAGAAAGATAACCTAGAGGGAAAATAGCTGGGTCAAATGGAATTTCTGTTTTTAGTTTTTTGAGGAATCTTCATATTTACATAGTGTTTTTACCCTTCCACCAGCAATGAAAAAAGTTTCGTTCTTTACCCCCTGCAGCCTCTCCTGCATTTGTTATTATTTGATTTCTTGATGATAGCCATTCTTTCTAGAGAGAGATGAACTTTCAATTTTATTTTCATTATATTTCTCAAACAGCAGTGGTGAATGTTTTTTCATATATTTATTGGCTATTTCTCTACTTCTTTATCTGAGAAGTGTCTATTCATTTTAGGTGCCCAATTTTAATTGGGTCTTCAAATTTTCCAATTTTTAAAATTCTTTATATGTTCTAGATAATAATCCTTTGTCTAAGGAATAGCTGGAAAATTTTTTTTCCTATTCAGTAGCTCGTCCTTTCACTCTTGGTGATTTCCTTTAATTTGATGTGGTCCCATTTGTTGATTCTTGATATTAATTCTTGTGTAGCCAGAGTTCTGTTCAGAAAATCTTTGATATTCAAGAGTTTTGTTACTTATTTTGTCTTCTAGCAGATTAAAGTTTTTACTTTAATGTTTGGACCTTTGATCTTTTGATTTAATTTAGTGCATGGTGAGAGATACAGGTCTAGGTTCAATCTTCAGCATATGGATAGCCAATTTTCCCAACACCAGCCCATTTATTAAAGAGGCTGTTTTTCCTCTAGTGTAAGTATTTGACACCTTTGTCAAGACAAAGTAACTAAGTATGTTTGGGGTTGTTTCTGCATGCTATCTTCTGTTTCACTGATCCACAAGCCCATTTTTTTGTCAATACCATACTGTTTTTATCACTATAGCTTTGCAGTATAATGGTAAAATCCAAGATACCCTCTTCCTTTCCATGGTGGCCCAGAATTGCCTTCACTATTGTAGGTCTGCTCTGGTTCCAAATGCATTTTAGGATTTTCCTCTAGTTCTTTGAGGAATGCTATTGTATTTTGATGGAGATTGCATTAAGTCTTTATTTTAGAAGTATGACCATATTGACTACATTGGTTCCACCTATCAAAATAAGGGATATCTTCCCATTTTCTGCTAACTATATTCCTTGGCATCAACCCTAAAATCCAGCCACCTCAATTAATGTGGGAGAGGAAGGTGTGGTCAAATTGGCTCAACACCAAATTCTCTGAGAATGTACCCAGAGAATTGTTAATTTCACGGTACTTGAGTGTTGTCTTGCAGAGAAAACCCATTGATGGCAACAATTATGTGCCTATGGTAATATCAAGCAAATAAGCTACAGAAGTATCATTCAAGACAAATCAGATACTAACATACCATAAGAACCAGAGAAGAAATCCAATTACAGTGTAAGCATTAAGACAACCTAAGCATTTTTTATTAAACCCAGGTCTTGACTTACAGATTATATGTACTAAATGTGACAGCTATATTTCCACTAATGGTAGAAAAAAAATCCTATAATAATTTTATGCAGTTGATTAATAAAACTTTATTATACTATAAGACTTTGTAGTATAACTTTATAGTTACACTATTACAGATACAGTGAGTTAGGAATGGTGGAATTCAAGAGGAAAAATACAAAACCTTAAACTATGATATGAGAAGAAAACAAAAGATCCTAATGGAGAGTAGGATTAGCTAATTACAACAGAAAAAAACTCATGAGAAATAGAAAATGAAAGAAGTTATATGAAAAATAAAAGTAAGAGAAAAAATAAAAGGAGAAAAATTAAAAGGGAAGAAAAGGAAAAATAAATAAATTAGAAAAAAATGTAGGAAGCATAGAAACCAGACAGGAAAATTCCCCAAGCCTCAATAAACTGCTGAAGAATAAAGAAAAAAAAAAAGATCAAATAATACTCAGCACACACTATGAAAAAAAAGAGAAAGGGATTTCCCTGTGATTTGGAACATGTAGTTTCTTCCAGGTTCTACAGTTTGGGGGCAGAGCTGAGGATTTAGCGCAGTGTGCTTGCCTGGTAAGCACAAGGCCATGCGTTTGATCCCAAGGTACCAAAATAAACAAACAAACAAAAAAAAAAAAAAAAATACAGGAAGCAGTGTCCAAGTGAAGATGTGGACCTGTTCATGCTGGTCAGTAATGCAGCCATCAAGCGGCAGTAGGGTAGAATGAGGGAACTAATACCCTGACTTTTAAATCCAAAGCAAATCTGGCTGGACCTGTTCTCTGCCCATCGGAGTGAAGCCTGTGTACTGGGGCTCAAACCCTTTAGGGAGTCTCTTTGCAACCTGCTCTCTGACCATGCTGTGTCCTGTATCAGTATTTCACCCAGTCACTGTAGAAACATAACACTGGCAGCCCTGAAGTGAAGCCATGGCCAGCTGAAAAAAGTCCCGGCTCAAAGAACCAACCCTGTATAAAGAATACATTTTCTTTATCCATTCATCTATTGATGATAAAGCCCATTTCCAAGATTTAGCAGTTGTGAATTGTGCTGCTTCAAACATGGATATGGAAATATCTCTTTAACTCTTTCTTGCAGATACTGTATCTAGAAGAGAAATAGCTGAGTCAACCAGCTTTAGTTTTTTAAGGAGTCTCTATACTGATTTCTATAATGGTTATACTAGTTTACATTCCCACCAACAATGTATAAGGGTTTCTTTTTGTTTGCAGCTTCTCTAGCTTTTGTTATTGTTAGATTTCTTGACAACAGCCATTCTTTCTGGAGTAAGACAAAATCTCAGTGTCACTTTAATTTGCGTTTTCTTAATGGCCAGAGATGTTGAACATTTTTTTCATGTATTTATTGACTATTTGTACTTCTGAGAAATGTCTGTTCATTTCAGTTACCCATTTTTTTTTATTTGGTTTTTATTTGGAGAGCCTAAATTTTTTTAGTTCTTTATGTATTCTAGACATTAATCCTCTGTCCAAGAAATAGCTGCCAAAAATATTTTCCCACTTGTCTCTTCACTCTGTTGGTTATTTCTTTTAATGTTGACAAGTTTTTTAATTTGATATAATCTCATTTGTAGATTCTCAGTATTATTTCCCAGATTCTGCAACCAAGGTTCTGTTCAAAAAATCCTTGCCTGTGTTTATCTCTTCAAGAGTTTTACCTATTTTACCTCCAATGTATTGTATTCTGTTTTAACATTTAGATCTTTGATCCATTTTGATTTTAGCTGAGTATATGGTGGTCTGTGGATCTTTATTCCGTCCTCTGCATGTGCACAGCCACTTTTCCCAGTATGATTGGTTAAAGTGGCTATCTTTCCTCCAGCATGTGCTTTTGGTCCTTTTGTCAAAGATTGAATAGCTGAATGTGCCTGGAGTTGTTTCCACATCTGATATTCTGTTCCACCAATCCCCATTTTTCTCTCTCCCTCTCCCTCTCCCTCTCCCTCTCCCTCTCCCCTCCCTCTCCCTCTCCTTCTCCCTCTCCCTCCCCCAAATACCATGTTGGTTTTATTACTGTAGCTTTATAGTATAACTTAAGTCTGGGATTTTGATGCCTCCTCCTTTGCTCTTGTTGCCCAGAATGACTGTGCTATTCTAGATCTCTTCTTATTCCATATCATAATTTTCTCCACTTCTATGAGAAATGCTCTTGCTATTTTGATTGGAATTGCTTAAATCTGTGTATCAGTTTAGTTTGGTTTTGGGGTTTTGTTTTTGTTTTTGTTTTTGTTTTTCTGTAGTGCAGGCTGGTCTTGAACTCACTATGTGGCCCAAGCTCACTTTGAACTCATGGCACTCCTCCTTCCTTGACCTCCTGAGTGCTGGGATTACAAGCATGTGCTACCATGCCAGCTCCTGAATATCAGTTTTGGAATATGGCCATTTTGACAATTTTGGCTCTGCCTGTCGAAGAACAGGGAACATCTTTCCATTTTCTTCAGTCTCCTTTTTAAGAATCAGATATTTGTTTTTAATTTTTTAAAATCTTTCTAGTAATGGACTTTGATACTAAGTTAAAACAGATCTGATTCATGTCCCAGAAACATTTTAGCCTTAACCTCACAAAGTTGGTTAACTGTGTCTCTCTTTTGGTAGTCATTTATTTGACTTGCAAGATTCAGTTTGTCAAGCCCCATTATTGGTTCTGAGAAGAAAACAGCTCCTTCAGAATATATTTCATTTTCTATTGTTGGAATAAACTCTAGTGATGTCTAAGTCTATACAACATTGAAAAAAGATAATCTTTGGCTAATTAAACAAAGGCATTTTTTGAGATGCTGCAGTGAAAGATAATAGAAAAAATTTCTGATGAATCCTTTTCTGTATGCAGTTCAGATTGAGAGAACCCTCAGACACACCCTCTGCTGTGACAGCCAAGAATGCAGCCAGATAGAGTTAAAGGAGTTTCAAGTCCAAGTTTCCTCTGACCCGCCCAGCCCTGGCCTCATTTGCCTTTCATTATTTTAGAGAGTAACAGAGCAATTTCTAGCAATTTTGCATTTAGAAAAATAGGATTTTTTTTCTGTTTTTCTTGGGGTACGTCAGTAATCTGATTTTATGCAATCAATTTTAGTGACAAAAATTATGTTAAGGATCTTAGGTTGATTCTTTGGAGAAAAATACAAGTTCATATGAAGAGACTATCAAAAGTAAGATTATGCTGGGCATGCCTATAATCCCAGTATTCAGAAGGCTGAGGCATAAGGATCACACTGATTTTGAGGCCAGCAAGGGCTATATAGTGAGTTCAAGGCCAGTGTGAACTACATAGTGAGACTTTTATGTCTTTAAAAAAAAAAAAAACTAACAATGCGTAAACTGAAAATGGAATTTAAATCAGGTTTGGTGGTACATGCCTGTAATATCAGCTACCTGGGGGCTAAAGTAGGAGAATCAAGAGTTTAAGGCAAGGTACCGGTAAAAAGGAAAAAGACAACAAAAAAAAAAGAGTTTAAGGCAAGCCTGCGCAACATAGTGCAACCCTGTCTCCAGATTTAAAACAAAGACGAGAGCTGTACCTCCATAGCAGAATGCCCTAGGTCTGATCCACAGAACTGCCCAAAAATAGATGTTAAATGTGGCACATAGCTGTTTGCTTAGCATCTCACTCATGTCCAGATAGACATGTCAGACCCTGACAGATAATTTCTTTACTAAATAGCGCCTTCGTTTTCGGCTTTTTTCATGATTTTTATATTTAGTACATGGTGTAAACATATTTTAAATTAGGAAAACAGTGCTGGGAATTGGATTTAGCCTGGGCAGTAGAGCATACTTTCTCCCTCGATTTCCTTACAGGGTGCGGTATATCTTGAATGTCACTCGAGAAATAGATAACTTCTTCCCAGGAGTCTTTGAGTACCATAATATCCGGGTGTATGATGAAGAAGCCACAGATCTCCTGGCTTACTGGAATGATACTTACAAATTCATCTCTAAAGCAAAGTGAGTAATTGTCTACATACATACTCGAATCGCTGTTCCTGAAGCACCACAACATGGCTGGGGCCAAGGCTATAGATAACTTATTATTAGTACTCGGGAGGAAAAAATGACATAAAGGAAAAAAGGGACTCAAACTTTGCAGTTATAGGCAAAAGAATAGTGACCTACTCACTTTTCCTTAAATGAATGAAACCCCTAGAAGAAGATGACTTCATGTTGACATCATATTTCCATTAAGCACAAAATTAAAGACAATAATATACCACAGCTAAAGAAACAGAAATGACATGAGCCAAATAAAATCAGTTGGACTGGGGGAGAAAAGTAAAGAAAAGAAAAGAGACATAGAAGAAATTCTGCATGAAATTCTTTGCAGTAGTGTGTGTAAATTACATAATAGGAATTATTCCAGGTAGGTGGAGTCCTGTTCGTCTTCTCTTAAGACAGAAGAGAGTGAGATTTAGAAATGTTTTCCCATTTTTTACTCAAGATCTTAACACATTCTAGTTAAGCTCCTTGCCAAATGAGCTGTATCCCACAGCCCATTAATTGACTCTTTTAGTGAAACTACTTAGTATTAATTTAGTGCTTAGTATTAATGCCAACACTGCATTTTTTTAAATCCCTGAGGATTTCTATGCCAGTTCTATTCATTCACTATAAGGAATCATAAATGACCTTGTCAGCTACATCTTCCTTCAAGTAGGACTACATTCAAACTGCCATTGACAGGTGAAAAATACTTCTATTTTTAAAGTTCCCATTCAAGAAGATTCCACATTTCTGTTGAGGAACTTTGTGGTCAGGACATTTTTCCTCTTAGTTACCTTAAAACCTCATACTTTGGCCTCTCTTCCTTTAGACTATAGCCAGTAGCTAAGAGTTCTTTATTCAGTGAACTTTTTAATAAATTATTCACTGTAATAATAGTATTCATGGCATGTTTGCTTTATGCCAGTTACTTCATGGGTGGGTTTGTTTATTTGTTTATTTGTTGAGACAAGGTCTCACTATGTGGCCCAGGCTGCCCTGGAACTTCAGTGATCCTCCTGCCTCACCCTCCCAAATGCTGCGATTATAGGCATGCACAACTGCATCCAGATTTTTTATTGTGTGTATGTGTGTGCCAGTTGCTTTATATACACTCTCTTGTGTAATGTTTTCTAAAATCTATAGAGACAGATGCTGTTACTATCTTGTATACATGAAGACAATCCATAGACATGAGATTCAAAGAGGTTAAATAACAAAGATTAGAAATAATACTGTGTTTATATAAAAGTCTATGTGTACAGGAATAGTCTAGTTCCTTAAAAAAGTGAACCAGAAAGAGTAGGTAAGTTGTCAGGGTCCCATGTAAAGAGGCTAGAGCAAGCGAAGACCTTATTTACAATGAAAAGAAGGTCTAGTTGCAGCTGGGGTTGGAGAGACATATGAGGCACCCAGAGCACAAATGGAGCTCTCTTTTTCAGACTTCTGCAGGTGTGGGTCAGCATCTGAGTGGGAGTGTCTCTGTAAATTCTGTGCCCTGAGAACCTCCTGTATTTCAGACTAATCAGAACCTCAATTCTTAATAGAATGCCCTTAATCTAAACAACCCTGTGTTATGGACATCGGGGCTGAAATTAAGGGTAGAATTAGATTATGTGAAAACTGCCTTAGGTTTTTCAATACATGAGTTAGAAGCTGTCCTCTGAAAAATCCAGTGAAAATACGCCAAAAAGATGTTTTCATGGGAATGAATTTCATGATTGCATTTTACTTAGGTTTGTCCAAGTTTGAGCACCTTTGATGCCTGCAGGAATAGACCTGAAATTTGATACACTAATGTTGTCAGAGGCCAATGGGAAAATATAGAGCACATGTCTTAATTTTCATTGGAGTCACTGACATTGGCTTTGTGATTGTAGTTTAAGTGAATAAAGCATAAATAAAACAAATATTTCTCTGTCATTTGAAATAAGTATACAGAGACACACATCCAAGCCAACCTTAGGACATTAAAATTTGAACCTAATTGACAAGGTAAAAGGCCAGTCTTTCCTTCCTCTTAAGACTGCTTCAGTTATTCCAAGCCACTCTGTATTCCTGTAGTTTATCTGGCTCATTCATTTTGGCAGGTAACCTCGTGTATGTTTGCATTAATACTTCATGTATCTATCTCTAGAGACAAGATTATAAACTTCTAGGCAAAAGCTTTGTCTGGCATCACACAATGAGTGAGTCAATGAACTGACTTCCCCTTAAACGTACAAATACATATTTTTTATTTATTAGAATAGCTACCTGGGAATGATTCTGGAATCATTCACCAGTGATGAGCACCAGTTCTCTTTTCCCAGGTTTTAAAATGTTCCTACTTAAGCATCTGGCAAATATAATCAGCAAGTCCATAGTTAGTTCATACATTTAGCAAATATTTGAAGGCTTGCTATGTGCCAGACACTGTATTGTTAACAGAAGTAGCATCACTGAAGAATGGTCATATTCAAGGTAATTAGCACTGGCACAGTAAGATTCAGGTGTTTTGTTCCTATTGCTTTGTGGTAGCTTTGTTTTTTTTTTTTTCACACTATTAAAAACAATAGACTGGGTTGGGGAAGTGGCTCAGTGGTAGAATTCTTGCCCTGCATGCACAAGGCCCTAAGTTTGATCCCCAGCACCACAAAGAAAGAAAAAGAATAAAGACAGACAGAAAGAAAAAAAAATAAAGAAAGCAAGCAAACAAACAGTGGCCTAGCTGGATAAGATGGGGCATGCCTGTAATCCTAGCACTCAGGAGGCTGAGGCAGGAAGATTGTCCTGAGTTTGAGGCCAGCTTGAATCACATAGGGAGACCCTCTTTCTCCAAAAAAAATAAATAAATATAGTAATAATAATAATGGGCCTGAGTGCGACTCAGTGGTAAAACACATGTTTAGTGTGCATGAGGCCTTGGAGTTAATCCTCATCATTAAAAAAATAAGATAAGATAGGCCAGGAGTATAGCGCAGCAGCACAGTGCTTGCCTGGCAAGCATCAGGTCCTGAGTTCGATTGCTGGTACCTTACAACAAGCAAACAGCAACCAAAAAAAGATAACTGTCATTCATCTTTCCCTCATCACTGAAAAAGTCATGTGACACACTAAATGCTCCCATTCATATTCTCTGGGTTGTACAACCAGTCTCTAGACAAGATGCCAATTATGGAGTTGTGAAAAGTAGTATCTAGGGCTATGTCTTGAGTAGAGAGGAAGGTGGGTTTCATTTGGCTTATGCCTTCCTCAAGGGGCAAAACCCTAATTGAAATTTATACCAGAAATAGCTCATAACATTTGAATAATGAATCACTGCCACACCTGTAACACAAGAAAGAACCAGCCATGAGCATGGTCCACAACACACAGAATAGATTGTAGTCTCTACATTCACAATGTCTCTTCTCTCATTGCACTTACAATATTTAATTTTCTCTTTTTTCCCCACTGAATCCTACCTATGAGGGTAAAAGCTGTGTTACTTAGTTTGCATCTTGAGAACTTGCACATTCTCTTACATATGGTAAAATGCCTGGGAAATGATTGTTGAATGGGTTAGAGGCTTAATATTGACGCTGACTGTTGTTTAAGAGAACTCTTAAAGCTGCCTAACCCACCCTTGCATTTGATCATAGAGGAACAACTGTGCCAAGAGGGGAAGATGGCATTGCATGAAAATGGGAGGGGGCCGGAGACTTGGAAGAATCTAGAACGTGGTTTTTACAATATACTCACTACTGGTTTTCTCTGTTCTGTACCTTAATCCTCCAAACTAGGAAACATGGGTCTAAATGTCTCGTGCACTGTAAGATGGGGGTGAGTCGCTCGGCCTCCACAGTGATTGCCTATGCAATGAAAGAGTACGGCTGGAATCTGGACCGAGCCTATGATTATGTGAAGGAGAGACGCACAGTGACCAAGCCCAACCCCAGCTTCATGAGACAATTAGAGGAGTACCAGGGGATCTTACTAGCAAGGTGAGTCTGTCAGTTTCTATCTCAAGATGCTTCTTCCTTTAGGCTCCAGAATGAAAGGTGAAGTGTTCATTCCTACAGCCAGTTCTCAGCCAAATTTGGACGTGATTTTAACTTCCATCAGTCAAATTTTAAAAAATAGTCCAGGTGTCTAAGGTTAACATGCAAAATTTGGCACCTAATCTTTTAGGAGAGGAAAGAGATTGGGTTTTTTTGAGACAGGGTTTCACTATGTAGTTCAGGTTGGCCTTGAACTCACTATATAACCTAGTCTGACGTCAAGCTTTCAGTGATCTTCCTGCCTCAGCCTTTCAAGTACTGGGATTGCAGATGTACTCCACCATGCCCAACTAGCACTTAATCTTTCAGGTTGATATAAATTAAAGGATGGATGTACTGTTCCCTTATTTCATTCTCAACTAGGTAAAAATTTTAATAAATACTTGTCAATGTCTTGTAAAGACAGATATAGCTGCCTTAGTAAAATGAATATGAATTATATCTAAGGTAATGTTAGACTTAAATGAAATTCTTAGAAATTGTGGGGCATTTAAAAATAATGTAATGGTAGGTACACTACTACTTTAAGTATTTTTTCCTTCAGTGCTTGATATCTTTTTTTTTTTTTTTTGTCTTTTTCCTTTTTATCAGTACCGGGGATCGAACTCACGACTGCCTGCTTGCAAGGCAGGCATTTATGCCGCTGAGCTAAATCCCCAGCCCCCCCCCCTTTTTTTTTTGAGACAAGGTTTTATTATATAGCCAAGGCTGGCTTCAAACTCTTGGCAATCCTCCTACCTCAGCCTCCCAAGTCCTAAGATTACAGACCCGTGGCACCACACACAGCTTTTTTTTTTTTTTTTAAGCTTTTAATGAAGTTTATGTATATTGTTTGAAAAAGTACAGAAAATTATAAAGGGAAAAAATAATTTATAAGCTCAGTACTCATAGGCAGCATCACCTATTTCTTGAGAGTTTATCACATATTTTGATGATTGTTTTCTTCACAAAAACTATTTTATAGCCTGTCTTGCCACCCACTGCTCAGTCTTGACTATCTTGCTATATCAGTAAAAGGCAGCTGCTTTCAATAATAACGTGATCATTACTTATGAAAATGAATAATTAATTCACTGCATCATTACCCATTTGGGGGTGAAAACCACCTTCACAAGTTGCTCTTGGGAATAAACATCAAATATTAAATGACTTGAGTATCAGTTTCTTGAGATTCTACATGCTGAAATTCTGTCAGTTGCTAGATTTTGCTTTATTTTTTCCACGTGGACACATTTTAGGTAAGTTTGCCAGGGTTAAAGCACAGCTGCTTAGAAACAGTTGAAGCTGGTGCCATGGTTTGACTCCAGAAAGTCTCATGACTTGGTCTTGACTCTTGAATCTGGGCTCTGTCTCCTCTGGACAAAATGTGAAATAGCTTTCCCGCCTAGCCAAGCAGGGGGACCACCCCCTAAAGTACTGTGAAAATGTGGCCACCAAATAGCATTATGGTTTCCACTGAAAAAACTCCTCCCTTTCACTCAACATTTGGCATGATTTCATGTGAGCTGTTCTCTTAGGAGTCTGGGAGAATACTCAAGCCTATGCTGTTTGCACATCTTTGGAATCAGATTTTGATCACATTTTTATTACATTTTTACATTAAATCAAAAGGTGTGGCACAGTACTTCTTTTTGGCAAGAAAGAAGCATTTAAGGGTTTGACGAGACATAAATACTGTACTCCCAAACACACGCATGACAGATGTTAAGCAGTGTCCTCACGTGACCCACTGAGGAAGGATACGGTGTGTCCTGCCAATTTCAGTATTTACTATGGAATCCCAGGCTACTGCAAGCTGTCGGGTTGAATTTTTTTTTAGCATATGTGGTTTTTCTTAGATATTAAAGGAATTTCAGAAATACCTTAAAGATACAGAAGCATAGTAAACCCAGAAATCACCCCTCCTCTTCCCTCTTTTTTTCTATTCCATCCTGACTTCTGGGCGGATTTATATAGGAGAATAAACCATGGGGAGGGAAAAAAACCACAGAATTTGACTTTGCTCACTCCCTTGCTACAACCTTGAAAAGTTACTTCGCATTTCCCATGCTTACCCAACCCCACCTACAAAATGAAAATTGAGAAAGCTTCCTCTCCTGGTTACTGTGAATAAAAATGTGTATAAATGTTTACTGCATATTGTTGAGGGTTATTTTTCGTCAAGTCCCTTGCCCGAGATTATCCAGAGAACACATATGTGTGCATGCTATTTATTTTTTTTTCCTTAACATCAATCACTGCCTCCCACCACCAAAAGCACACCAACTCCACTAAAAAGTGGAAGAGAAAATATTCCTAGAATTCCCTGTATTGTGATGTTTCCTAGATTTTAAATATGAGTCCAGTTTAGAGAGATCACTTAGACTGCTTTGGGCTACAAGTAATACAACAACAAGGATCTCAACAGGAAACAATGTACTCAGATTATTTGTAGAGTTTTATGAAGGGGCTATTTCCAGAGGTCTGGCATTATAGCCAGTCAAGGGATTTGTGTCAACAGAACTGTTTGTTTTCCCAAATCCAAAGAGAAAGGAAGCATTTACCAGAACTTAGACTGTGATAGAAAAAGGTATCATCAAAGGTAAACAATAACCTTCAGTTAGGAGGACACAGCTAGTCTGAGGGAAGTTTGGAGGGGAAAAAAAAACATGCCTTCCCGGAGGTGTCCTTACTCTAGTCTCCTCTTAGTGCTCCATTTAGCCAAACCCTGTAGAAGTCAGAAGACAAGGAGCCTCTTAAAGCTTTTGACTCAGAGAGCAAGGTGCAGAAGTTGAAGAGCAGACCTGCAGGGATGAAAAGGAAGTATCTGCTCTAACCCCACACTATAGGTAGTTTTAAAAGGTTTCATCTCCTCTAACATAGAAGTAGTCTCGGGGTAAGGATGTAGCTCAGCAGCATAAATACCTCTCTGACAAAAGCAAGGTCCTGAGTTCAATTCCCAATACAAAAAAAAAAAAAAAAAAGTAGTAGTCTCTAGTAACCAGATAATGATGTGACCAGGGACTTTTGTGTGTTCCATCTTTCCACTCTCCTGTTCATAGTTAATGTTTCAACCTGGAGATTCTACCCCATGATTACTATGTGTCAGAAACATTCCTATGCATCTACATGTAAGTTGTACAGCTGTGACTGAAGCAAAGGAGCATTTAAATGACCTTTCAAGTTTCCTGTAGACGTCCCCTCCAGACTGTTGGGCCAGGACTGGGTAGTCCATCTAAAGCCAATCACTGGTCAAGAAAACAATTTCCAAGGTTGGCTAAACCATTTGTCCCCTGGAGCTAAGAAAGCACCACATTCTCTGAATCCATGGGACACCAAATACTCGGCCAAATCAAGTCTCTGACAGTAACAAAAGTAGTTATTGGGAGCCGGGAATATAACTCAGTGGCACAAGTGCCTGCCTGGCAAGTGCAAGGACCTGAGTTCAATTCCTGGTACCAAAAAAAGTATTTATTGCATATTTAGCCATTTATGTGTATTATTTAGAAACCTTGGGACTTTGAATCCAGGTGAACTGGGCCCAGTAGATCCTTTACTTGCCCCAAAGTTCTGCAACAATCTGTCTCTTTAGAAAAGCAAAGATAAAAGGATCTTTAGACTTGTGTAGTTGGGCTGGGGATTTAGCTCAGTGGCGTAAGAACCTGCCTGGCAAGCACATGGTCATGAGTTCAATCTCTGCTACAAAAAAAAAAAAAAAAAAAAATAGACTTCTGTGGTTGTCTGGAGCTCTCTGTCAAGCCTGTGGTTTAGGTAACTATGAGAGTAAAGTTCTTAGAAAAATCCCACTCAATTTTCCTTCCAAAGAAATTCCATTTCCTGTCTAGATATTTTCATCCTGTATTTCATATCTTCTCCCAGGAGGCATGTGGTGATTTTCTCAAGGAGTTAAACCCTGATCCTAGCACTTCTAGCTCTGTGGTTACTCAGTAGATGGTTACCCGAAGGTGGCAGCTCTCTCTTGGAGAACTTTAGTTTTAATGTTTTGGCCTCTTAGTAGAAGAGAAGTTTACAAAGTGGCACCACTTTCCAACAGTGATTTATGAATTGATTACAGTCTTAATCACAGTGTAAGGGTATAGGCCAAATTATGAAACCCCTTTCAAGAGACCTTTTGCATCATTCAAAATATTATTAAAAGCTAGGAAATGCTTATTTAATATCCCCCTTTAGACCTAAAAAGGTAGAGTCATAAAACTACTGATATTATGCATATCTGGTTTTTCTTCTGATAGGAGTGAGACAGGAGGTGTGTGTATATGTGTGTGTTTTGAAACTCTTCATTAAACTTCCACAGCCCTGTTTATTTTTCTGCACTCTGATCATGCAAGTATCTGGCAGGTTTATATTCCATTAGACAGTTTCAGATTTCAAGCAGACCATTTGCAAGCTGGACCATGTGTCTCTGGTATTAGATTCCAATGCAAGGGAGTAAGGAAGAAAAATTGGGTAGTAGCCAGGGAGAATTTGTACTACATGTCCTCAGAAATGTCAGTTTTGACTCTTGACAGCCTGTCCCACAAGGACCTGAGGGAGGTGGGTTGGCCTTGCTTGTAGGCACATTAAGGTCAAGTGAACAGAGGCACAGTGGTGAGCTAGCCCCGTGGAATCGGAGAATGAAAGGACATAGATTCATGGTCAGGTGGCAGCCAAGCTCAACTGACATTTTAAAGGATATAGATTTTTTTTTTTTTTTTTTTTTTTTTGCTTTTTAGTACTGGGGATCAACCTCAAGGATGCTGTACTACTGAGCTACATTCCCAAATTTTTTTTAAATTTCTAGACAGGATCTCCCTGAGTTGCCTAAGCAGAACTTAAACTTATGATCCTCCTGCTTCATCCTCTGTAAATGCCAGAATTAGAAGTGTGCAGCACCATGCTGCCTTCAAAGAATTTTAATAGCTTTTCAGTTAAATAGCAAACATCTAGGCAAGGTGTGGTAGCACACAACTGTAATCCCACTACTCAGGAGGCTGAGGCAAGAGGATTACTGTAAGTTTGAGGCCAGCCTGGGCTACATAATGAGACCTTGTCTCAAAAAAAAAAAAAAATCGTAAGCATAATAAGGATCTAGGACCATTCACAGCACACAGAAGATAATTAATGCTTTTCCTTTCTTTTTATAGATCCCTTAATATCCTAAAAAGCAACCACAAAGAATATGATTTCCCTGTGACTATGCCATAATTTTTAGTAGCATTTTCATCTGTATAACTTTCTCAGAGTTGATACTTTAGCAAACATATAACAGTTTTTAAAAAGTAAAGAGAATGAGATGTCTTATGTATCTCCTCATTTAAATTTCCTTCTTACTCATTTACTGATTAGAAAGCTAAATTTTTATCCAGAGTAGCCCAGACCTCGTGTGTGTGTGTGTGTGTGTGTGTGTGTGTGTGTGTGTGTGTGTGTTTACATGAATCTAAATTCAGGTCAGAAGTCACTCAGAGGGGAAAGGATCTGAACTTGGTTGCATCATCCAGGCCATAGACTCTGAACTCTGAAGTTCTTTTTGGCAACTTGTTTACTTGCTGCCTGTCTGGAATAGATTGGATGGCGGGGGGGGGGGGGGGGGGGGGGCGGCGGGGGGGGGTCAGCTGGATTTAAAAGTTAACAGTTTAAAATAATAGATATGATCTAATGTCTTAAATCTATCCCTACCAGTGTTAGCCCATTAGAATGCACTGCTCCAAACAAAGCTGCACTGGAAAATAGTCTAATGTTACCAAATAAAACTGATGACACGTACATACACTATGACCCATATTTTCCATTCCTATATATAACAACTTTGAGAAACTTAAGTACAAGGCACAAAAACATCCATGGCAGTGTTATTTGTAATAACCAAAAACTGTTCATTAAAAGATAAATTAATAAATTGTGACATATTCATTATATTCTTGTTGTTTTTGAGGACTGAACTCATGACCTTTGCACTGAGCTATATTCCCAGCCTTTTTTTACTTTCATTTTGAGAGAAGATCCCACTAAGTTACTAAATTGCCTAAGTAAGACTCTAACTTTCAGTCCCTCTGCCTTAATCTGCCCGAGTTCTGAAATTAGAGGTCTGTGCCACCACACTCAGCTCTATGCATTTCATTTATACACAGTAATTCCTAAAAATGTAACTTAGGCAAAGGAAAATTTGGCATAAAAGAATGCATGTACGATTTCATCTATATAATGTATAAAACTAAGTAATATATTCCTAAGTCCAAAACATGAGGTGAACAGGCACATGACGTACCAGTGTTTCAGAGGCAGTGGTAATAATTAGCATGTATCAGAGAGTTGCATACCACCCTTCCTACAAGACTTACAAAAATGAAAATGCAGAAGTACCATTACACCAATCTTCAGTTTGGGTTTTTTCCTTTCCTTAGTGTCAGTTTCATTCTAGAATCTCAACCCAATATTTCTGATGATTATCTGTTACAGGAAGAAAAAGAAATCCCTGCTGGGCAGCACAGCTATGATGTCAGCCCCTCCATCTGACATATGCACTGTTTCTACCCATTAGCATTATTTTCATCGTTCATTCCCTCCTGACTTATTAGTGATAGTAACCATTTGTTTTAGAACAATACTTTAAAAATTATACTCCAAATTAAAAAACTATACTTTGGCAGATTCTTGAGAATCATAGACATTTCTCATTTGCCTGTTGATTAATAAGATCAGGTGTTCTTTTACATTACTAAAGGGTGAGAACAGCTACACTTGAGCTGTCTCCCTAGTCACACATATCACAGGTACAGGTATTATCTTAGCATGGGGTATGAGAGAAGTTGATGCAGGTTTGAACATCCTCATGATAGGTGATAGAAATGAGGGAAAGCAGTCATATTTAGGTCGGGAAACAAGGGTATCCAGATATAAACAGTTTGTAAAGAAAATGCATTGGCCTTGGTTAGTCATGCACAATTTTGGCCCCACTTAACCAAGAAGTCAGCCACTCATTTGTTTGAGATGTGTGATATGTTGTCTCCTCCTAGGGGTGGCTGCAGTTCATGCAGCTTGGGACAGTGTAAACCCCACCTTACACTCAGCTAATTGATTAAGGCTGTCTTCAGAAACAGCCTGACCTACTTCCTACCTGAGAACACAACACCCTGCTGTGAAGGCCTGAGTCAAAGAGCCCCACCCAAACAGCCAGACAGAGGGAGCCGAGAGCAGGTGCAAGGTTGAGAACAAACGGGGTCATATTAGTGCAGGCACATGACTGTGGAGAGGATCCCGGGAAAAGTGGTTCGAGGCCGAGTTTCCCATTCCATCTAGCAGTTAGGTAACTCTGCATCAGCTTGTAAGTCATGGAGCTCTTACGTAGGATTAGTGACTGATGTGGAGGTATGGGAGGATGGTGGTCATTCTTAAACTAGAAGGCACTATACCACTGTACATAGTGATCTGGTACCAAGCAGGTGATCCTGACCAGCCACACTGCCAGGTTTCTCTTTTTGGCTGAGGCTTTTTAAATTGTGCTTCCTGTAGTATATGGCTTGAAATGAATCTCATCCCCACCTCAAAGCTTCACTCCATGAAATAACCAAAGGACAGATGTGAGACAGGGTAGATGGATGTCACCCTTTGCCCCACCTACTTTTCCATGTGTCAACTTAGCATGATGGTGTTCATCCAAAGACTCTTCTGAAAATGGCCTGCCCTGTATGCTCATCCTCTTCATTATGTTTCAGAGCATTTTCAAATAAACTAGCACTACCTTTATTTGTTTGGTTTTGATTTGAATGTGTATTATGAATGGGTTTTTTGTTTTGTTTTCTGTGTTTTTGAGACAGGAACTCAACTCTGTGTTTAGGCTGACCTTAAACTCATTTTGTAGCTCACGCTACCCTCAAACTCATGTTGATCCTTCTATCAACCTCCTGAGTGCTAGGATTATAGGCATGCATATGTTTTATGGTACTGGGGACTGAAATAAGGGGCAGTATTGAGCTATATCTGTAGCCCTTTATAATATTTTTATTTCAAAACAATCTCACTAAGTTGCACAGGCTGGCCTTAAATTTACAAACCTACCTCAGCCTTCCAAGTATCGGAGGCTATGGGCATGTGCAACCATGCCAGCAAATTATGCTTTGCTTTGCTTTGCTTTGCTTTGCTTTGCTTTGCTTTGCTTTGCGGTGCCAGGAATTAAAACTAGGGCCTCACATGTGCTAGGCAAGAGCTCTATCACTGAGCTATCTGATGTTATTTTCTAATTTAAGAATGATCACCACACTCTCACACCTCCACATCAGCCATTAATCCTACATATAACCCCTTCATCTCTCAATCATGATAACTTAGTAATAGAATCCAGTGTAATATTTCCCTTTGTATGACTTGTATGTTGTTTTGGTTTTACATTTTTTTCTAATTATAAAGAAGATGTTTAATTTAGCTCATCACTTTTTTAAGTTCAAAAATTATAGAATTTTTTAAAAATTATAGAATTGTTAGGGGCTGGGGATTTAGCTCAGCGGCATAAGCGCCTGCCTTGCAAGCAGGCAGTCGTGAGTTCGATCCCTGGTACCGATAAAAAAGGAAAAAGACAAAAAATAAAAACAAAAAAAAAAATTATAGAATTGTAGAAACTAATAGCCCTCCCCAACAGTCTTTTCTGCCCTCTTTGAAGAATCACTGTTACCCGTTTGCTGTTGTTTTTGCAGTCTTTTTCCTACCCTTACTGTAACATGATATGTGTTCAACATACTTTTTGCATGTAATAATGTAGTTTGGATATTATTCCACTGAGATTCTTTATAGCACAGATATATGGCCTGTAATTTTGGGGGGAATGTAATTTTTCATATCACAGAATTATCCTTGTATGTATATATTTGTGCACTTGTAATAATTCTCCAACAAAGAGGAAGAATTGTTGGCAAATGGGTTAAATTTGAAGAGATCTTAAAAATTCTACAAGTCACACTTCTACCAACAACATATGAGCAGGTTTGTTTGACCATACTGTTATCAACAGTGCTTTACCAACCATTTATTTCTTATCAGTCTGATAAGGAAAAAAGTCAAATGTCATACTAATTTATTGTTTACTGATTTATTGTTTCTGTTTTACATTTTGATTTTCTTTGCTATTAATTGAAGTGAGCATTTTTTGAAATGCTTATTGCCTAGTTCCATGAGTAGTATCAAATCACTTTTCAGGTTAAGTTTATCTGGGAGTGGTATCCTGGGAGGGTGTGAACTGTTTTCATAAACCAGAGTAAGATGATTACTGTGTGTGTCCTCCACAGCAAACAACGACATAACAAACTCTGGAGATCTCATTCAGACAGTGATCTCTCAGACCACCATGAACCCATCTGCAAACCGGGACTAGAACTCAACAAGAAAGAGATCACCACCTCAGCAGACCAGATTGCTGAGGTGAAGACCATGGAGAGTCACCCATCCATACCTCCTGTCTTTGTGGAACATGTGGTCCCACAAGATACAAATCAGAAAGCCCTGTGTACCAAAGAAAGAATGATCTGCTTGGAATTTACTTCTAGGGAATTTCATACTGGACAGATTGAAGATGAATTAAACTTAAATGATATCAATGGATGCTCATCAGGATTTTGTCTCACTGAATCAAAATTCCCTCTTGACAACTGCCATGCATCCAAAGCCTTAATCCAACCTGCGCAAGTCCCAGAAATGACCAACAAGTTCCCAGACTTAACAGTGGAAGATCTAGAGACTGATGCACTGAAAGCAGACATAAATGTCCACTTACTGCCTATGGAAGAGTTAACATCTGGACTGAAAGACCTCCCCATGTCACCTGATCCTGAGTCACCAAGCCCCCAGCCTAGCTGTCATGCTGAGATTTCAGATTTCAGTACAGATCGCATTGACTTTTTTAGTGCCCTGGAAAAGTTTGTGGAGCTCTCTCAAGAAACCGGATCTCGATCTTTTTCCCATTCAAGGATGGAGGAACTAAGTGGAGGAAGGAGTGAGGGCTGTCGACTATCAGTGGTAGAAGTACCCTCTTCTGAAGTGACCACTGATGACCAGAGAAGCAGCTCTTTGAGTAATACTCCCCATGCATCAGAAGAATCTTCAATGGATGAAGAACAGTCTAAGGTAAAAACTGTTGTTATAATTCTCCACCTAATGAGGTTCTCACCAAAGACCAAATATGTTCAACTTTATTGTGTTCACTTTTTTTTTTTAATCTTTTTATCGGTACCGGGGATCGAACTCATGACCACCTGCTTGCAAGGCAGGTGCTTATGCCGCTGAGCTAAATCCCCAGCCCCTGTTCACTTTATTTTTGATGTTAGTAAAAGATTTAGAAAGTCAGTAAGACAGTCTAGCTGAGATTTATTTGAAAACTTAGAGCTTAAATATTTTATAAATTGGGGCTGGGGATTTAGCTCAGTGGCATAAGCACCTGCCTTACAAGCAGGCGGTCGTGAGTTCAATCCCCAGTACTGATAATATATATACATATATATTTTTTTTTTTATAAATTAACTTGGAGGATTTTAACTTTTTGGATTTTTGGTGTAATTGGAAACACTTGTGAGTGGGACTGATGGAGGAAAAGATTCGCTGAAACAAATGTCCTAGCTAAACAAGGAGAGGTCCCCTCCGTAGACCTCTGTAGCTTGAATCAGATCTTAACCAGTAACAAAATGTCCAGGATTCATATAATATCCAAAGAAGATTTATGTCTCTGTCAGAAAATAAATTTGGGGATTTTTTTTGTCTCAGCAAATTCAAAGGCGAGGCTTACATAAGTAGTCGCTGAAGTAGCAGTTGAGTCCATGCTGTGTTCTTGCTGTTAATGTTTCTGAATTCTTCATCTCCAGTCTTGCGTTACTCAAGAATCAAGGGTTGATCAGGGAAAATGAATTTGAGAACAGACAGGGTCCTGTGATTCTTTTCACTGGCATATGAGCTTTTATATAAGCCATTTCAAAAAAAAAAAAGTATTACATGTTATCATTATATCATCTTAACACTCACTCATTTTGATACTTCTGAAATTAGGATTATATTAGCAACAGGTGTCTTATATCAAAACCATGCAATAGTTGAGGAAAGTGACAGATTTACTCTAAAATAGTAAAATTTCAGTTGATGATTTTAACTAGTGTGACTAGATTCTTGACATCTATGATTTTTACTTACATTTACCTCACCTTGTCCTTCACTCACCTATTAACTTTCTCCTTAACTACCTGCCCCAAGCTCTTTTGCCTCTGCTTCTCTCCTTCTACCCTTTCCAAAGCCTGTGTCTCTGTTTTGTTCTTACTGGAAAGCCAAAAGGCTTCAGCTCTATATTGAACCAACAATGAGTGCAGTAGCACTGACAAAAATAGCCTTCCCGCAGAGTGCTGATCATATGAGAGCCCCCTCCATGGCCAGTGCACACGTCAGGACCCACAGCTTCCTCCAGTGACAGGTCCCCTCTTCCTGATGTCCTGGCAAATTTTCCCCGGAGGCATGATCGATTTTATTAGTTTGTACTAGCTTAACTTCTCTTTTGAAAGAGAAAGGCTACAACAGTTACTAGAGAAATACTATACTTTGAAGTCATATATAAAAATGTTAACAAAGTAGATCGACTTAATGATCCTACTTTAAGAGGTGTCCTAGTTACTTTTCTCTTGTTTTCTGAGACAAAATACCTGACATCCAAAATTAAGAAAGGAAAGGTCTGTTTAGCTCACAGTTTGTGGAGGTTTCAGTTCAATAATCAGCTGGCTCCATGGCAGGGTGGCATACCACAAGGGCAACAGTTCAAGGCAGCAGAAGACAGCAAAAGCAACAAGAGCACAAAAGAGGGAAGAAAGAGCAAGTCTCTTTTCCTCCCTTATATTCTAAGCAGGCTACCTGTCCTCCAGGTGGATCTAGCACTCACACTATCCCCTGCTGTTGTCTTGTTTACAAAGTGAGACCCTTGGCCCCCTGCTGAGTCCCTCACTTAAACTTCTAAACTTCTCAAGTTGACACACTATCAACCATTACAATCTACTCCTTACCAACTTGGCAGCCAGACACATTTCTTTTTTTTTTTTTTTTTTCTTTTTTTTATCTTTTTATCGGTACGGGGATCAAACTCAAGACTGCGTGCTTGTAAGGCAGGTGCTTATCCGCTGAGCTAAATCCCCAGCCCCCAGACACATTTCTTTTTTTCTCTTTTTTCTTTTTGGTACTGGGAAGCAAACTCAGGATCTCATGCATGCCAAGCAGGCATTGTGCCACTGGCATATTTCTAAATCCCCAGTCTAGACACATTTCTTTAAACTGGTCTCTAGATAAAAAGACATGGTTATTATCATTTCACAACTTGAACATTATAGCACAGGTTTAATAATCCTTAAGAACCAGTATTAAAAGGCCAGGTGTGTGATGCACTCCTGTAATCCCAGCACTCAAGAGGCTGAGGCAGGAGAATCATTGCAAGTTTGAGACCAGCCTGGGCTACAAAGTGAGCTCAAGGCCACCCTGAACTGCATAACGAGGCCCTGTCTAAAAAAGATAAAAAAGAAAAAAAGGGCTGGGGATTTAGCTCAGCAGTATAAGTGCTTGCCTGGCAAGTGCTAGGTGGTGAGTTTGATCCCCAGTACTAAAAACAAAAACAAAAAAAGAACCAGTATTAAGTCTATCAACATCATATTATATTAGAACCATAACATTTTGACCCTGACCCCCCCAAAGACTGATGCACATCCCTTTATGCAAAAGCCATTTAGTCCATCTTTAAGAGCCAAAGTCCTAACAGTTTCAGCATTGCTGAAAAGTCCAAGTCCATAGTCTCCTCAGAGATAGAAGGCAAACTCTTTAACTGTAACCCCTATACAAATGAAAAGTTAAATACTTCCAGAAGTCAATGGCACAAGATAAGCATTTTCATTCCAAAAGTTACAAACGGGGGAATACAAAGGAGTGGGACCAAAGCATGTCCAAAATCCATCAGGGCAAACATTAAGTCCTATAGTTCCATGTCCAGCATCTGAGACAATCTGTGGCACATTGTGAGCTCCAAAGAGTTTGCATGTGTCCACCCCTATGTCATTTCTGGTGGTTGTAGCTCCCACAGATTTTCTCTTAGGCCTGCTCTGCTCCCTCCTTACAGATTTCCTCAGATGATCCATGTTCCTGGCTTCTCCATACTTCTGGGGTCTCCACTGCATCTTTCGCTTTGCCCTTACCATTTTACACATTGCCCTCTTGGGGGCAACTTTTGGCCTCCCAGGCCTTCTAAAATTGGGGTGGAAGCCTTCTTAACCCTGCAACTGTTACAATCTGCATACACCTAAAGCCAGCACCATGTGGATGATGCCAGGGTCTGCTGCCAGCTGGAGCAGTAGCACCAGGCTTTCCTCTTCTTGGCTGTAAGGGTCGAGTGCCTGGATCACTAGGCACTCTGAATCCAATTCTGAGGGACATATTTTCTTTGCTACCACCATTCTGGACATGGTACAGCTGCTGCCATTCTGGAACATGGTACTCTTCAGCTTTCCCCTTAAAGCAAAGTTTTGTCACGTTAGCAGTTTTAAGGCTACAAAGAGTAGAGACTTGCTACTTTTTGTAATGCTTTTAGGCCATCTTTTCTATTCTCTTGTTCCTTCTCAGCAATTGAAATTTCTTCAGCTCTGTCTTTGCAGTCCACAGCTTTATTGAAGCTTCCTTTTTGACCAAATTCACGATGGTTTAAATCATCCTGTTGAGTTCTTTGCTCTTGATTTGCAACATAAATCTTCCTAAAAGATTCCCCAACAACATGCGTCAGCATCAACATTTGACTGCCTTGAAATTTATTCTGCCAGATTAATTAGTCCACAGCCCTTAATCTTAGTCTCAGGCAAAGTCTCTGGATACGAACAAAATGCAGACAAACCATAACATACATTGTCTGGAATGTAACAGCCAATGCAGTCCTTCTTCCCAGCAGAAATCTCCCAAACCTGTTTACTTCTCTGGTCTTCTGAGTTCTGACCAGAATCTCCCATATAGAACAGCCTAAGGCATTTCAGCTCTATTCTTTCAGGTGACATCTCCAAACCTTTCCAAAGTCTTCCCACAAGCCATTCTCAGAGTCTCTTGAACCATATGCTCAGGTACAGACAGCAATGACCCCACTGCTGGTACCATTTCTGTCTTAGTTCCTATTCTCTTGTTGCTGAAATAAAATACCTGATGCCCAAAATTAAGGAAGGAAAGGTTTACTCAGCACAGTTTGTAGAGGTGTCAGTCCATAATCAGCTGGCTTCACGCAGGGTGACATGGCACAGGAGCAACAGTTTAAGGCAGCAGAAAACAGCAAGAGCACAAAACAGGGGAGAAAGAGCAAACCTCTTTTCTGCTCTTAAATTGTAAGCAGGCTATGCCCACTCCAGGTGGGTGTAGCGCTCATACCATCTCCGAGCTCTCTTGCACAGGCTCAGGATGTTTACCAAAGGAGGACCTTGGCCCCCTGCTGAATTGCTTAGTTAAACTCCTAAATTTCTCAGGTTGACACAATGTATCAACCATTACAAGAGGAACACAAGAGCGATTTCCAAGATTTTGAATTCTTTTTAACAATTCTTTTTAACAACCTGATTTAGCATTGGACAGTTTCCTTTGGCCTTTTCCAAATATATCTGGGCATTTGTAACTGGTAGAAGGGTGAAATGTCTAAAAGTGATGGTATGTGCTGTATAAGTCAAGTAAACGTTTCCCAGAAGGCAGCATGTGAAACTTAGGGCTGTGTAGTCACATATGTGAGTGCATCTGGAATGCTGTTGCTAAGAGTTGTAGTGGAGAGGATATGGATGAAAGGTAGGAAGAAGGAGAGAAGAGAAAAGTGAGTTTCCAGATCAGATATCAGGTGATGGGTGTATCCATCTTGCCCTGTTTCACACTGGACATTGTCTAAGGTGGCCATTGAGCCTTCGAATGGACTCTTCCCCTAAATAAATTAAGATCAAACTGAAAATTGATAGGCCTGAGCAGAAAGATTTCATTTTATCCAGTATGGCCTACTTCCTGGAGGTTCATAGGAAAATACGGATTGTAGAAGTCCTCACAACCACTTGCTGTTCAGTTTAGAGCAAGCTACTAGGTTAGAATCCCACCTGAGTAAACAGAGTAAAATGTTTAGCAGGTTGTGATGTAACCTATGATGAATTCTCTCTCTGACTTTGATGAATCCCAGTTTTGTTTTGTTTTGCTTGGTTTGGTTTGGTTTGGTTTGGTTTGGTTTTCTTGAAGCCTGACAAGACAGATGGAAATAATATGGTACCCAGGCACTCTACCTTCTATTCTCATAGTTAGTTTCTTCTGGACCAAAGGATTATTTAGCAGAACACTAGCACTTAAATAGATTTGCCATAATCTCATTGCTTTCTCTTTGTAGGCAATCTCAGAACTGGTCAGCCCAGATATCTTCATGCATTCTCATTCAGAAAATGCAATTTCAGTCAAAGAAATTGTTACTGAAATTGAATCCATCAGTCAAGGAGTTGGGCAGATGCAGCTGAAAGGAGACATGCTATCCAACCCATGTCATACACCAAAGAAGAGCACCACCCATGAGCTGTCCCTTGAGAGAGCCCAGGCCCCAGAGAATAAAGCTGGGCACATGGAACAAGATGAAGTTTTCTGTACAGCCCATCCTGAACTACCTAGAGACTCAGGGAAGTGTAACCCAGAAGGCTGTGTAACCACACAGTCATCCACAATAGACTTTGAAGAAGAGGAACCAACCGAAGGGGAACATGAGCTCTGGGGCTCAGGCATGCATTCAGGTGCCAATTGGTACCCCGGGTCTGTGAGGCGAGCCACCCTGGAGTTTGAAGAGCGTTTACGACAGGAGCAGGAACACCATAGTCCTGCCCCTGTGGGTACCTCATTGTCCACTCGCAAGAATTCTAAGAATGATGCTTCAGGGGCAGACCTAGCACCAAAAGGAAAAAATGATGAAGCCACCTCAGAATATTCATTTGCTCCCAAGGAACCAGAAGTAAGCAAGGGCAAAGGGAAATGCAGTAAGTCTGAGGCTGGCTCACTCTCCCAGTGTGAGCAGAATGCCATTGTTCCAGCACTCGAGCTGTTGGAGTGTCACCCTTTGACAGCAACTCAGGACAACCCAGGGTCAGATATTAGAACAAAGCAAGGAGTCCCAGAGGAGCAAAGGACTGTGGTTTCATGCCAGGGCTCTGAGATGCAAGCCCTCACTCTTCCCAAAAGGATAGAAATCATCGAGTATACTCACACAGTTACATCACTCAGTCACACTGGGTCAGAGGCTGAAACAGCCACAAGTGAAGAGAAGGGCGAGCAAGGACTAAGAAAAGTAAGAGTAGAGAAGTCTGTCACTATGCTGTGCGTGCTGGATGAAAATCTGAACAGGACTCTGGACCCCAACCAGCTTTCTCTGCACCCCCAAGTGCTACCTCTGCCTCATTCTTCACTGGAGCACGATAGACCCGCCAACCCAACATCCATGTTGAGCAGCCCTGAAAAGCGAAGCAACAGTCCATTGACAGCCCCGGAAACAACAGCACCTTTTATCAGTCATACAACCCACATACCTGCTAACTTGGATTACATGCATCCCCAGACCGTGGTTCATCTGGAGGGTTGCACAAAGCAAAGCAGCACAACAGACAGTGAGCCCTCTACAGAACAGGTTAACTGGGCAGAAACTCAAAAGGGCCATCTCTCTGGTGGCGATGAAGTACCACACAGGGTCTCCCAGTTAAATAGCAAAGACCTACGTGTAATTAGCAAATTTGGTGGAAACATTGGGGAATTAAAGAAAAAACTAGACCCATTACAGGCATCTTGGCAACTCCCACATAGTTCTAGCAGTGAAAATATAAAGGGTCTCCACCACAGTCCTCGTAAGGTAAAGGAGTGTGCTAAAGTTGAGTCCCAAGTGATTTTCCAGGCAGGGGTCACCAAACCATCCCAAATGAGGCGCTCAGCTTCTCTTGCCAAGTTAGGCTACCTGGATCTCTGTAAAGACTGTTTACCAGAGAGACAGGCTGTCTCTTCTGAATACCCTCATCTCAAACTGCTTCAGCCCTTCATCAGAACAGACTCAGGCATGCATGCTATGGAGGCCCAGGAGCCCCCAGAAAACCCAGGTGCCTCCCAGAACCCAGAGCCCACCAAGTATTTTGTAGAGCAACTCAGAACAACAGAGTGTATTGCACAGAGCAAACCAGTGGAAAGGCCCCTTGCGCAGTATGCCAAAGAATTTGGTTGTAGTCAGCAGTGTTTGCTCCCCAGGGCGGGACGAGAATTGACTAGTTCTGAAGGAGGCCTTCCTTTGCTACAAACCCAGGGCTTGCAGGAAGCAGGCTCAGCTCCAGGGCTGGCCGTGGCACCCCGTCAGCAGCACGGCAGAACTCACCCCCTTAGAAGACTGAAAAGGGCAAATGATAAAAAACGGACAACCAACCCCTTCTATAACACCATGTGATTCTGAGCCTACTACATGTGATTTTTCTAAAAGAAATGTATGTAAAAGGGGCAGGTGTAATATATAAGGAACATGCACTTTATTGGTTAATTTTATAATACTTTGGTCATTTTACTGTTCCTGGCGCATGCAGGGTTTGGATTTTTTAGTGTGTGTGTGTGTGTGTGTGTGTGTGTGTGGACAAAGATTGATCTTGATGGCAGGACCATTTTATCATTGTTTATTTTTTTAAAATTCAAACCTCAAACTCATTTTCAAAGAACACCTTTGTTAAGGCAAATTGCTGTTTTTCAGTCAGCTACCACTTGCTCCTCATTTTGCTGAGAAAAGACTGCTTGCTTGACTGAGGGAAAGGAGCAGATGCGAGGGTGGCACTGAGGCTCCAAATTAGAAATATTTCTCCAGGCCTTGTGATGATGGTTTCCATACCTCAGGCATCAGATGGAGCTGAAGGGCAGCCAAGACCTCAAAGTTCTCCTAGCCTTCATTCCCAGCCCTACTCCTTTGGAGTTTCTGAAAAAGATATGTTCTGCGTTGCTTTGCAAGGGGGCCTTCTAGAATTCATTTCTTTTGGTATTGTAGAGTGTGTACTAAAAGGCATGATAATAGCTGGCTCTAAATTTATCAAGCAATTTTTCAGCCTCAATAAAAATTTTAAAATTATAAGGGAAGACCAAATGAAAGCTAGGAGGCCTTCTGTAAAGAGCAGGTAAGAGGAGCGTGAAGAGGCCACTCCCAGTGACTTCTGGGTTAGTGGGTTCCACACAGACGGTCATCCTGACTCTCCCTGCCAGGAAATATGCTCTTGCAAGTGCCCCAACTAAAATGCAGCAGAGTCAATTTTGAAAAACAGCAATCAACAGTCAGTGTGTTCTTATAAAATGAATATAAATGTAGGGTTTTTAAACCCTTTCCATTACTTGAATAATTCTGTGGGCCTTCTGAGTTTAATGGCCATATTTTTTCCCAATTTATCTTCCTCTCAATGTATGCCCCATCCTGCCTATTTTTTTTAATTTCATGGATTATATTTTAATTGTTGCATACGTATAATCTCCATTGAACGCAAAGTTTTCTATGTTATCACTGTTTAACACTTGACATAATTTTCTTTTCTCCTTTCTTTCCCTGGAAGGTTTGTCATTTCTCTAAAGTATACACAGTATTTATGTACATAATGTCACTTTCTTACAATGTTTTGTTGTTGATGTTGTGGGGCCCTTTGTGATTTATTCTTTTAAAGAAGAAATAGTTGCAACTGGAAAACATATAAAGACACCAGAAGTAAAACTGGTAGTCGTTGATAGGAATCTGTACCATATATTGAGGGTAGTTTTCCTGCCAAATTATGCATTAGTAACTTCCTCCTCTGAGAAACCCCTAAAGGTTTCCATTAGATCACAGTGTGACTAAAAGCTGATTTTTGTCTGAGACTAAGAGCCTAGAATATTACCTTGCCAGTACATGAACCACAGCCAGAAAGTGTATATATGCATTGCCCAGAGCGAAAGCACCTAATGGAGGCTGAGAGGCCACAGGGGAGGTCCCTGCTAAGGGCAAGTGCCCGTAATAACTGTGTTTAGGATGCTGTTGCTTCGTGGCTATGGAGATCCTTAACACAGGAGCATCTGTCATAAACAAGCCTCCAAGGTTCTTACAAAAGCATATCTATCCTGGGACGGCACACCACCTACAGCTCATCAGAATGGAAGAAGTTTGCAGATTTGCTTCCTGTTTGCTTTGGTTGACGTCCACATTGCTCAGGGTTGACTGAGCACAAACTTGAGACTTAGGTTTTTGGTTCATCACAGCAATAAGAGGAAGACATATGTGTACAGACTGTCAAGGTGCTGTCACAGGCCAGAGTTCGGAGGGACAGACAGTTGGGCAACCAAAAGAATATAAAAAGGTGAACCGAGGCTATTTGCAGGTGCTCCAAGCAGTTATTGATCCAGTTGCCACATGGAAGCCATGGTTGGGTGAGACATCACTGCCAGGAGGCAGGTTGGAAAGAAACCACCTGCCAGAAGTATCTTTATGGTATAATAATTATGTATATCTGTGCTGTCCTTCAGTAGTTTCCTTAAGTGTCCAGATATGTCATTCACACAGCTTTGTGATTCCTGGATATGTTTATGTGTTGTGAAGTGTTTTGTTGGGTTGTATATATGCCAGTGTGAGGAGGCTTGTCAAACAGGGTGATGAAATCCAGGGCTCATCCATTGAAACCACCCTGTCTTTTTGAAGCAATTCCACTAGCAGTGTGATGGGAAAAGACAATAAATCGTGGCGGGAGTAGGGAAAGGATTTGCATGGAGATCAAGAGGGTGGCACCACCTCCCACCTGCCACTGTGTATAATGTTCACTTTCTCGTTTAATAGCAATTAAGAAGAGGAGGAAATTCTCTAATGCTGTGAAAAATACAAACTTTACTTTTTTAAAGAGTAGAGGGTACAGTCTTCCTCTACCTTCCTTTTATTTGAACTGTATTCTTTTATCATTTAAATGACCTGTCTAACTAAACATCTTCCACATAGGGCCTGTAATCTAACTCCGCGAAGGGATTTGCCAGCCCTCTAAAACGCTGCACCCTTGAGTGTTCTTGAGTTATATGTATGGCTGAGCAATATCCAGGGTAGGTACAGAATAAGCTGGTGAGGACTTTTTAGATGACTTCTCTTCAGATATCTTGAAAATTTCATGTGGTTTATTTCTCATTTCTGTTTATGGAAAACAGAGATGAGCAGGAAAAATTTTGACCTCTTATCCAATACTTCACTTCTTGCCCAGTACCTCTATGTTTTTCTTAAAGATGACCATAGTCTTTCAGTAACTCTGGAGGGAGTGTGTGTGTGTGTGTGTGTGTGTGTGTGTGTGTGTGTGTACCTGCACACAGAGGCGTGCGTGTGTTTAAGTATTGAATACAAAAGTTGACATTTCAGTGCATGGGTTAAAAAAGCCCCAGGAGCACATAGGATTATTAGAGCTGTAATCTGGATGGTTACCTGATCAGCAGGAGAGAAACCCCACCCCCATTTTGCTTTTTGGAAACTCTTAGGAGTAGTATATACTGTAGCAAATACACTGTGCTATATAGTACAGTAGTATTCATCTCTCATTTTGGTCGTCTTTCCGATTCTATTTAGAATGTATGTTTTGGATCATTTCTAGTATCTCAGCCTCTGTAGACCTTATTAAGTCTTTCCCTGCTCTTGTTCCAAGTATTTTCTTTTTCTCATTTTGAGAATTACCAAGAGCTCTAAGGACAGCCTGATGATGACAGCCTAGGCTCTAAGGTCCGTCCCTTCCTGCTCATGACTCCAGACAGATGCTGTCAAGTAGACCCGAGGCTTCCTGTGCGAAGCTTCTGAGAATACCAGCTCACAGATGTCTTCATCTGCTTCTTTTGAGGATTTCATCCCGAAGTGATCTAGGCATGTTTGTTAAAATGTTTTGTGGGAATTGTTTATTTTTTTCTTTAAAAAGCATTATGCAAAAAGTCACTTTTAAGGGCATTTTAAAATTAAGCCACTTTTTGGCTTTTTCCGATAACTGTTTGTGGATACTTTGTTTACATTGTGAATATTAAAAGTATGCATCATCTTGTTGGCCACTCAGTCCTCCGGGCACCAAGACCCTGACTGTCTTGTGAATCCTTACACAGAGCACCGCCATAATGTCAGCCCCTGTGGATAAGTGGTAAAACCTGGAGTTGACTTCCATGTATGTCCTTCGCTTTATCCAATATTCTCTATGAAGTAGTTGTCATTTACTCAGTGATGATGTCTTAACAGTGATGGTTGTAATGGTGAATGGCTAGTACAATTTTTATTTGTTTTGCTTTTTAACAATAGACAAGATGAAATTTAATTGTTTCAGCACCAATCCAACTTGAAAGAATTGTGGATTTTGTTTTCCCTTTCAAACTAAAAGAACAAGGCATGTATTATACATAAGTGTATTTGTTGCCTCAAGTCACCTGTCACCATAGTAGGAAAAGACCTGCCACTGACAGGGGCTGCACACTCCTAACTTTACTCCCAGGTCTCAGGGTCCCTTGACACCGTGGAGAGCTTTTGCAAGGTGCTTCTGTACTTTTCCAGCCTGGAAGTGGAGGGTGACTGGGCCTGCCTTCTGCTATGAAGAGAACCAGCCTCATCTTCTCAATGCCCCAGAGACATAGGACAGGATTTCTAAACTGGAATCATCATCCCTTAACAGCCTAAGGATCCCCCAGGAGGTACATGACTAGCGCCGCCATCAGTATCTGCACAGCACTGCTGGTGGTAGCATCCTGTGTGCATATGCAGAACTGATACCCAGGGCTTCACTCACGCTGATGACCCAAACTGAAAACTGGGAAACACTGAAATCTTTCCTAATCAAGCCCACCAAAAAGTGTTCGATTTTTATATTTTGTTGGATTTTGGTTTGCTTGGCATAGCTAAAGGTGCCTTTTTTTTCGGTTTTGTTTTCTACTTTATTTTGTAGGACTTGTTCTAAACATAGAAAATAAGTCCAAAAGACTCTCCCACTGACTGTTACCTTTGCCCTAGGTTACCCTCAACTTTTATGCTCACATTTTATTAAATAAAGCAGGTGCTCCCTGGAATCTCTGGGACTTTTTTGAGGCATTTGAAGCAGAATATAAAGAGTGGTCTCATCTCCTTCCTTAATCTTCCTAGTGGTTGGGATGTTCCACTTGTATCATAGTTTTTTTATTACTGATGTGCTCTGCTGTTTTTAAATGTGAACTTGTACGCAAATGTGCAGATGCAATGTTCTTGTTACAGACTGAATAAATTTTTATTTTGAAGATGAAGTGTGTGCTTCAAGTGCAGTGGGGCAGGGGCGTGGTAGAGGTGGAAGGGCTGGATGAAGCAAACAACGGTATTCATTGGTTCCAGTCAAGCATAGCCTGACAAACTTTAGAGATAAAGTAGACATAACCTTCCACAAAAGAAAAGACTGGATAGGAAATAAGGTGACTAAAAATTACTAAAGACCAAGTGACCAAGCTGGGAACTTGCCTGGTCAAAGAGGCATTTGTCAAAGCCACCACGTGAATATTAGAATGAATAAGCAAAGGGACAAAAATTTCCTCTACCATCTGTGGTGCAGAGTGACTGATCTGGGACAGCTGCAGTGACCTGCCCAGCAGAGACTAGATTTGTTAGGTGAGTGACCTCCAGACATTAGTGAAGCAGAGCTAACAAGCCTTCAGCACAAAGCTGCTCCACCCACTGAAAAAAGGGGGAGAAACCTTTGGTGTCAGTGGTACAGGCGGGGGATGGAACCAAAAGGCAGTTGTGACAAAATAGTGGCGGGGGGGGGGGGACAATGACCCCACTGCCACTTTTCCACAAACCCATCAGGTGCTACTTACGGCTTAAGAGAGCACTGCTCTAGGGAATGAACTGGTCCCTCGTTGCCCACCAAATTGCCTAAAGCTTCCAGAAAAAAACCCTGCCTGAACTAAAGTCATCATGCTTCCTTCTAAGTCACATGCTTCAACTGAAAAAGGGTACACTGCTGGTGTCCAGGGGGAGTGCATAATGGTACAGGTAAAGTCACATCATGAAATAGTCTACAAGTGCTTAGGGTCTCCGACCAGTCTAGATAAGCTCAATCTTGGCTTTCAAACTGAAGCAGATGGACAAAGTGATGGCCAAATTGCCAGAACACTTGCAGAAAGTGGCTTCATTCCTGTAATCCCAGAACCCAGAGGGTGAGACAGAATTACTGTGAGTTCAAGGCCAGCCTGGGCTACATAGTGAGACCATGCCTGAAAAAAAAGTGGCTTCACAAGATGAAATTCATGCCTGTCTTCAGTGGATTGCAATCCAAATCCCAGCTGACAGTTCCTAGGGAAAGCTCCAAGCTCAAGTGGCCTTTTCCTTTGATTGGTTCATTATACTTTGGCTCCACTCACCCACAATTTTGTCAAAATTAGGCAGGAAAGTTAGAGAGCTAAGCTCAACCAGCCATGCTCCTGCAAATACCTACAAATCCCTGCTCCAAGTACCCAGAGGACATCCTTCCCAGATGTTAGAACCAAAGGTTGGATGGACTGAGGGATTTAGAGTCCCTAGCTCTCTTTAAAGTGAAGGGAGACAACGTATCAAATCTTACCTTTGCTCACAAATGATGCAGAATTAGAACATGACCTGGTCCTCTTCATCTTATAGCTCAGAATGCAAAAATAGGACAACTAGACCAGGAGTAGATCCTGTTTTCTAATTAAACCAGGTAGCCTCTCCTCTGTGCCACATAGCATAACTAAAGATCAGCATCTGTGAGCTGAAGTGGCATTGTCCTTCAAAGTGCGGCAGAAATACATGGGGCTGAAAAGCAGGGACCCAAATGCCAAATCCTAGAGACAAATATCAGCTCTATCAACCAGTTGAGTGATAGGTATAGGTAAATGACTTAACAAGTGCCTTGGTTTCCTCCTCTGTAAAATGGAATAATAACAATACCCGTCTGTGAAGGTTGTTACCAGAATATTATTAATATGTGTAAAGCCCCTACAACAGTACCTAACATAGTATGAGTATATAAGTCATGGTTTTACTAGAGAAACATATAAGATGTACAAATTATAAGAAATTACAAGTTTGGCTTATAGGATGCTCAGCTACAGAGCTGGATGAGGAAATGTGCAAAAGGTGTCTGCATGCTGGAAGCTGCAGGATTCAGTCCAAGGTCTGGAGCTTATTTCAGTGTTTGTGCAAGTCCAGATCAGGAAACTGATGGGTCAGTGACAGAAGACTGAAGCTAGAAGCCAGGAGATGACATCCAAATTGAAGGCGAAACCTGAAGCCCAGAAGCCCAGAGAACAGGAGTCTGTCTGTCCTACCTCATTTCCCTTTTATGTTGTCCGAGTGCGGAGCCACCCTAGGGTGGGTCCTCTACACCCGAAGGGGTAGGATTGTTGAGCTGACTTAGTTAAGCTTCTAAACTTCTCAAGCTGACACCATCAACTAACCACTACATTATACTATCATTATAAAAGAGCCACAGGGGCAGGGGATTTAGCTCAGCTGCATAAGCACCTGCCTTGCAAGGGCACGGTCGTCATTTCGATCCCCGGTGCCAAAATAAATAAATGAGCAACTGGATTACTTGGGTCCTTTCTTCCTAGTCATGCACCTGAACTCTTCATTCATTCTCTGGTCCCTCATGCCATGAATTCTTTCTACAAAACATATAACAGCTTCTGAGCATGTTCTCCACCAACCACTATTGTCTAGAATGGTCAGTGGTCTAGAATCTTCTTGAGAGACAAGAACCTTGGGACCCTCGTGGTTTCCACTGCCGTGGGTCCCTCTTTCCACTTGTGGCCTCTGCCTTCCAAAAGGCTGTGTGCCCTGGAAAGCAGAAAGTATTAACTGTCCCCACAATCCCTTGCAGGTCCTTATCATCTGAAGGAAGAAATCCAATGTGCAGGCATTGGGTAACAATAGCACTGGCTATGTGTTGATCAGATTCTTTTTAATTTCTTCCTTGACCTTTGCCAATATTCCTGATTCATGGATCTTGGAAAAGAAGGGAGGCTTCCTGGAACACAGTGAGACATCAGCTCAGAGGAGGCCTAGATGACATTACCAGCCAGGCATCATCAGCGTCTGAACGGCTCTTCTGGCCTCTAAAACTGTGGCCAAAAACTTGGGCCAGCCTTTTCCCCCTGCACCTGGCTCGACATGGGTCCACTTTTCCTCCTCTCTGGTTTCAAGACGCTTTCTGCCCGACTCCACGGAATGAATCCTCTCTAACAGTGGGAAATGACTGGCACAGTGCTAGCGTTTTAGGTAGTCAGTGATGGTAATCGCCATTCATAACAGCAGTAACATTCACAGCTCTTTGTCAGGTACCCTCTCAGCTTCCGGGGAACCTCATCCAATGGCTGAGCCCATCCTGCCAGCGCATCTTCTGAGGCCTCTTCCCAGAGGGCCTGGACTGCACTCCCGCAGGAACAGGCTAAATCGGGAGCTCGATTGCGGCAGGAATGCGGTGCGAAAGCCCCTGATGTCGCGCTGCCGCCTGCTCCAGCAGAGCGTGCCCTTCGCCCGCTCCCGCTCTCAGCGTCCGGCTCTGGCTCTGGGAACATGGATTCCCCAGCCTCCCGGAGGCGCGGAGACTGGGGAAGGGGCGCGCACCCCTGAAACACTCGCGCACTTACTTCCGACATCCTTCTCAGCCCCGCCGACACTCGGAGTGAAGTCGGCAGCGCTCGGCTTTCCCGCCGCCGGGGGCGGGGCTACTCGACATTGGCCCCGCCCCGGCCCCGCCCCGGCCCGCCCCCTCAGGTTGATGGCAGCGGCAGCTGGGTCCGCAGCGAGGCGCGGCCCCGGACAGCCGCAGGCAGCGGCCGGAACGCGCAGCCCGCACCCGAGCCCAGACGCCGCGGACACCCCGAGAGGCAGTTCCTTCGCCCCCGGCGCACTCTCGGCCGGCTCCGCAGAGGAGTCGCAGCGTGAGCACACCCCCTCCCGGCTTAGGACCAGGTACACCCTCTCGCCGCCGCCTCCCGTAGCCAGCAAGCGGGCGGCGTCTCCGGAGGGGGCCGAGGTCTGCGCCCCCTCCCCCCGCCGCCCGCCGAATTCGTCCCGGCAGGGAAGACTTGGTGTCTATATTTGGCCGGACCGGGCCAGCGCGCAGACACCTAGTCTCGCAGGAATGCAGTGCCGGGACAGGAGGCCGGAGGAGGGTGTGGGGAGGCAGGGCCTCAGGCCTGGGGCCGCAGGAGCGTCTTGAAGGGCACAGGGATGCCCTGGGCTGAGGAGGGCCAGGAGCCAGTGGCCCTTTGCGAGAGCTTGGTATGGCCCGTCGGAAAGAGAGTAGCTTGCAGCACAGGCCCTGACTAGAGAAAAGGCAGCTCACTCTTCCCACCTCTGCAAATCTGGTCCTGGTGGGGAGGAGGGGATGGAGCACCACAACCCCTGCAGAGTTTACAAGGAGAAAGCCCCAGCATAGGCGGGACCCAAAGTGCCGTAGGTAGAGGCCAAAGACCATGGCCAGGGCTTCTTGCAAAAGCCAGTGCAGGGAGGAATGGAAGGAGCCATCCACCTTACATTGTGGCCCACCACCACCGCAGCAGCGTGGGAGGAAACTGCTGAAAACAGTTGCGGGAAGGGCACAGGTTAGCTGACAGGAGAAACTGCACTCTTGGCAACTTGTTGTAAGAAAGCAAAACTCCCACTATATCAGAAATACGTACATGTTTGGGACTGGAGAGAGTGGCTGCAGTCCGAGACCCACAACTGGCCTTTAGCCAAGATCAAATGGCCAAGGCCTCCGATTCTGGACAAGATGCCTCTAGAAGCTATACCACTGCAGTGAAGAGATGCTCACCTAAGGCGCTAGCACAACGGCAGCCTGGCATCAAGCTATTCCCAAAACATTCTGTCTTAGGAAGCTTTCAGAACCTGTCAGCCTCCTTTGTACCCCAGCCAGGGTGTGTAAGCCCTTCACACTAAACAGCATTTGATAGGTGGCAAAGAACTGTCCCGTATTTTCATGACTTTGAAGAAAACTATAGAACCTGACTCTTGGTCAAATAATCCTTCTTATGTGCCTCCCCATCCACACCTCCTCCCTCCCACAGCTCATAGAACTAAGGACAAAAGGCATTTCTGAGCACCAGATCCTCCATCTTCACCGAAGCCATGAGCCGCCGCGTGGTTCGGCAGAGCAAGTTCCGCCATGTGTTTGGGCAGGCAGCAAAGGCTGATCAGACCTACGAGGACATTCGTGTGTCCAAGGTCACATGGGACAGCTCCTTCTGTGCTGTCAATCCCAAATTCCTAGCCATTATCGTGGAGGCTGGAGGTGGGGGCACCTTCATCGTCCTGCCTCTGGCCAAGGTGAGCGGTGAGAGGAAGGAAACGAGTGGGAGGACGCTGGCTGGGGCCCCTGCGTTCTCACCTGGTTCCGATCCTCAGTGAGGAGGGCAATTTGTGTGGATTGGTTGTTTCCCGTCCCCCCAACCCCTCAGCAACCAGTGGGGACACTTCTCCACTCCATCCTGAGTGTCACAGCGGCCCACACCTGCTCCCTATCCCGCCACCTCACCATGCAGCACCCTGTTCCTGGCAGGGACCAGGGAGCCAGGTGGTGAACATTGTTTGGATACAGCATATGTGTATTCTGTCCCCGTCTTCCTAATGCCATAACCTGTCATGTTTTAGGGCTGGAGATTCTCCTTCTCAGCCCAGGATGACTGATCAAATCACAGCTCAGAGCTGCACACTTCGGGCAGCGGCAGGCTCTATCAGAAGAGGCCATAGCTACTTCTTCACTCTGGTTCTTTTTGTTTGCTTTCCCCAGTACTTGGGATTGAACCCAGGTCCTTTGCATTGAGCTACATCCCCAGGCCTTCTTTATGTTGAGACAGGGTCTCACTAACTCACTAAGTTACAGGTATGTGCCGCTGCGCCCAGCTCCACAACGGTTCTTACAATGAGGTAGAATGTATGAAAGGCAGAGGTGCATAACACATAAGGCCAGAACTCTCCCTACCCTAGGGAGGGGGGCTAGGCAGCAACTGCCACTTTTGCTGGGTAACTTCAAGATTCTTGGTCTGGATTCTGGTCCCTATACCTTTTTGGGGAGCACCCCACGAGTGACAGGGTTAAGCCTGACTATAGCCAGTGACTCACCCTAGACAATGGAGACACCATCCGGAGATACCATCCCCGGGGCTCATATTTCAGCTAGAACTTCCTCCTTCCCCGGTACAACTACCGTTTAAACCAGTCACCCCCTCTGCTACTGGCTGGTCTGGGCCTGTGTCAACCCTGCTGAGGTCTCAGAACCTCTATAAGGAGCACATGGAGATTAAAAAAGGTAGTACCCACCCTCAGCCCCAGTTTGGGAGACAGTAGCACTAGGATTGTCTGCCCCTTGTGGTTCCAAGCTGAAGCCAGTAGAAAGAAGAGAGAAATCTGCCAAAGATGGTGAGGAGCACTGCCCTTGGAATACCTTACTTTGAACTCTTCCAGCTGGGCCTTCCCAAAGACATTCCAGTTGGGGGACGAGGCTCAAGAACTGCTTCCTCCAAGTAGGTGACTTTCAAAACAGTACCAAACTGAGAAGTCTGGTCTCCACCAGTATCTTGTGGATCTTTGCTTAGGTCATTTTACTTCTCTGTGCTAGGTTCCCTAATACTAAATTATTTCAACTCTGCTTCAGCAAAAGGCAAAGGAAGTGGACTGAAGAGGGTGATAGGTGCAGAGAGTCTGCCCAGAGAAATGGATGATAGAGAACAGAGACGTAAACAGATCTGCCCACTTCAGTACACACACACACACACAGTGGGCTGGGGGTGTAGCTCAGTTGACAGAGTGCTTGCCTAGCATCTGCACAACCCTAGGTTCAATCCCCAGGACTACAAACACACATATATACCCTCACATGTAGACCCACACACACCACAAGAAAGTGGTCCCTTAGCTCTCTCTGATCCCTCCAGACAGGACGCGTGGATAAGAACTACCCACTGGTCACTGGGCACACTGCACCTGTGCTGGATATTGACTGGTGCCCACACAATGACAATGTCATCGCCAGTGCCTCAGACGATACCACCGTCATGGTAGGAGCCAGGTGCATGCTGCTGGACAGCTGGGCAGGGGGGCAGGGAGGGCTGCCTCACCTGTGCTAGGGAAGGTGTTAGAGAGGTGCTGACTCCCAGAGCTCTGCCCTGCCCAGCTTCCAGGCTATTCTTAGCTACATGTCCAACCCTCCCAGGATGCACTGCTTAGGACTAATTATAGTTATGAACAACTTGGGGCCCTGGGGGCGGATACTTTTAAGTCTCCCTGGTGGGTCGAATGGGAGGTAAGTCTCTGGAGAACTGGAGTGCCCCCTCCTGGTTCCCAGCTGCTTCTGCCCCAGTCAGACATCACCTTTATCTTGCCGGCATTTACTCCTACCATTCAAGAGCTAATTGGTAGGGTTAAGGCGAGGAGGGGAGGAACAGGACTGGGTCCTTATCCCATCTCTCCTTTGCCTTTTCTTCCTACCTAGGTGTGGCAGATTCCAGACTATACCCCTGTGCGAAACATTACTGAACCTATCATCACACTTGAGGGCCACTCCAAGCGTGTGGGCATCCTCTCCTGGCACCCCACTGCCAGGAACGTCCTGCTCAGTGCAGGTCTGGGGCCCCAGGGAGGGTCCCTACTGTAGAGGAGGCCCACAGTAGCAAAGGTGGGGCCTAGGTGACCATGGCTGGCTGCTGTGTACAGGTGGTGACAATGTGATCATCATCTGGAACGTGGGCACCGGAGAGGTGCTTCTGAGCCTGGATGACATGCACCCTGACGTCATCCACAGCGTGTGCTGGAACAGCAATGGGAGCCTGCTAGCCACCACCTGCAAGGACAAGACTCTGCGCATCATCGATCCTAGAAAGGGCCAAGTGGTGGCGGTGAGTGCCGAGCCGGCCCACTCCTAGTAGCTCTTGCCCGGTGACCAGCTGTTAGCTCCTAATGTGGTCATCAGAACCCCAGGTCCCAGCTCCCACCTGCCCAATCCCTTACTCCAGAGACTAGTCATCCTCTCCCCAGTCTGTGACCACAGTTCCCTGCCCCAAGTAAGCCTCCAGCCTGCAATTCCTGCCTTGCTCCTGTTCCCTCCCCTCCCCTGCATCTCAGAAGCCCAGAGGAGGGTTCCTTGCTTTGAGATTGAGGAGGGGAGAAGCTGAAACCACCCTCCCTCCAGCACCTGCATGAGACCTGAGCTCCCGGACCCTCTCCTTCAGCCGGCAGCCACTACCATCTTCCAGGGTCTGGAGCCTGACCACTGGCTCCGGAGCTAACCCTTTCCCGCCCTTGTGGACATGCTGGGTGGGTGGATGGGTGGGAGTGCTGGGGTGGTAGAGGCAACCCTCATGCATGCTAGTTGTCCCTAATGAGTGCCCTAGGAGCCTCACCAGCCTTAGTTTAACGTGGGGCTTGCGGGGCGGGTGCATGTCTATGCGTGGAGCAGGCGCGTGGAGCGTGGCCACAGGCGGGTGGGCAGACGGGCACGCTAACTCACTAACCCCGCGAGCAGGAGCGAGCCCGGCCTCACGAGGGCGCCCGCCCGCTGCGGGCCGTCTTCACCGCAGACGGGAAGCTGCTCAGCACCGGCTTCAGCAGGATGAGTGAGCGGCAAGTCGCGCTGTGGGACCCGGTAGGCCAGGCCGCGCTGTGCGCGCTCGCTCGCTCTTCGCTCTTCACCGGGTCAGCCAGGAGCGCCCTGCCTAGTGGGCTCGAGTGGAGCAGGGAGCTCCCGTTTGGGAAAAGCCTCGCTGTGACCCCAGGGAGCCAGCAGACATCGCCTGCTGTGGGGATCAGCCTTCGAGGGCGCTTATGGACTCCGGATCCGAGAGCCGCGTTCTCCAGGCCAGGAGCCAGCCACTGGCTCCAGGGAAGCCGAGTTCTTTAGGACCCCTCTGTGCTCCCTCGCCCCCACGCCTGCACCCACGTCAGCAAGCTCTTAGCTCGCTTGCTCAGCACTCCATGCTCCCCGGGGCAGGCAGCTGGGTGATGCCCCTCCCTTCTCCCCCCTTCCCCCAGGAGAGGTTTGCAGCCCACGAGGGGATGAGGCCCATGCGGGCTGTCTTCACGCGCCAGGGTCATATCTTCACCACGGGATTCACTCGCATGAGCCAGCGAGAACTGGGCCTGTGGGACCCGGTAACGCAGCTGGAGGCTTGGGGTGTGTGCCCCGGGGACTGGCATCACGCGAGAGGGGCCAGGTGCCCCCCACCGCAGGTTATGCCCACCTGGGCTGGGCTGGAGGCTGCTGCCGCCTCCGCAGTGCCCGCCTCCCCACACCCACCCTTCTGCCCACTTCTGCTGCGTCGCCTGAAGAAGCTCGCACTGGCGCCCACACCCGGTGATGCCGAGTCCCTGGGGGTGGTTTGCGGTGACTGCATGCAGTGGCAGTGGCGCAGGGGGTACCTGTGCCAGGGCAGGGTAGCGATGTGTCTAGGGGAGGGGCCTGTAACTCTCACCAGAGCTGCTTTGGGAACTAGTGGGATTTGGGGTGGGCAGGAAACTTAAAGATGGTTCGCACATAGCGAAAGTAGCCCCGGGGCATGGGCAGGGCTGGTCACGCCTCCTGTCCTTGGGCAGAACAACTTCGAGGAACCAGTGGCCCTGCAGGAGATGGACACAAGCAACGGAGTCCTACTGCCCTTCTATGACCCGGACTCGAGCATCATCTACTTGTGTGGCAAGGTGCTGAGAGCGGCAGGAAGAGCGGGGAGCAGGATGGAGATGTGGGGCTGCCTGAGTGCGCTCTGAACCGGCTGGCTTTTCAGGGTGACAGCAGCATTCGGTACTTTGAGATTACGGACGAGCCACCCTTCGTGCACTATCTCAACACATTCAGCAGCAAAGAGCCGCAACGGGGCATGGGTTTCATGCCCAAACGGGGGCTGGACGTCAGCAAGTGTGAGATCGCCCGGTCAGCAGCCTGTCCCTTCCGCATGCCTCCCTCTGCCCCTGCTCGGGTCAGGTCTTAACCACCGGGCTTCCCCTGCGGTGCTGTGTTTTGAAAAACGAAGTTGGCGGTGGGGATCAAACATTTCTGTGTTAGCACCGACCCCAAAGCTCACTCACCTGACCTTCTCTGAACCTCAATTTCCTATAAATGACAAACACCCAATCAGACGTGATTTATGCCAAAATTGGTAGTGCATGTAACGTGTACCGTGCTTGGTAGTCAGCAAGTGTTGGCCTCTGATCCGTTGGTCCCAGACCAGAGAAGTGAAGGGGGTGGCAATCGGCGGGGGCGATAAACCCGATTCTCTTTACAGGTTCTACAAGTTGCACGAAAGAAAATGCGAACCCATCATCATGACTGTGCCGCGCAAGGTGAGTGTCTGGGAGAAGGGGGCGCCAAGGCGCCACGGCGCAAGGGAGCGTGGCAGGCCTGGCCCCCCAGTTCACACGCAGCCGCCTGCCCACCACCCCCGCAGTCAGACCTGTTCCAGGACGATCTATACCCAGACACGCCGGGACCCGAGGCTGCCCTGGAAGCAGAGGAGTGGCTATCCGGTCAGGACGCGGAACCCGTACTCATTTCGCTGAGGGACGGCTACGTGCCGCCTAAGCACCGCGAGCTCCGGGTCACCAAACGCAACATCCTGGACGCACGCCCGCCCTCTGGCCCCCGCCGCAGCCAGTCAGCCAGCGACGCCCCCTTGTCGGTAAGATCCCGGCCCGCCCCATCTAGACTCGGTCTGCACATCCTCCACTCTCACGCCAACCCGGCCTCTTCGGTGCCAGCAGCAGCACAGCCTGGAGACGCTACTGGAGGAGGTCAAGGCCCTTCGCGAGCGGGTGCAGGCGCAGGAGCAGCGCATCACGGCTCTGGAGAACATGCTGTGCGAGCTGGTGGATGGCACCGACTAGCACCGTGCTGTGCGGCTGAGCGGCTGTGCTCAGCTCCGGCAGACGGGAAGGGCGGGACGCACCGGCCCACTCCAGCCTCTGGTCTGGGACTCCCGACCTCTCCTTCCTGGGCTGGGATCCGAGGCTGGACTGGGAAGGAAACTATAACCCTCGTGGGAGACCTGGAGAGGGAGCTCAGGGGAGACTCCTTTGTCTTTCGGGGGCCAGACTGCACTCTTGGTCGGGACTTGGCTGGAGCAGGCCTAACCCCCCACCCCACCCCGGGGCCTCAGCAATGGTGCTGCTTGGTGAGATGGTAGTCTCCTCTGTCCCTTGCCCCAGGCAGGGGAAATGCTTAGTTATTAGCAGAATATCTGGGGATACTGGGGAGTTTGGGCTTGACCTCAAAGGGGTGGCTACTCTATAGGTCTCCCCCAGACTACGTGGGGGAGAATTTGGGCGTTTTTCCTTATGGGCTCACCTGATTCCACCCATCTGAGTGGTAAACCCCAGTTGTGAGTTGACAGCACCCCAGTTCTCCAGATACACACACAACCCACACAACCCCAACCCAGGGGTTTATGGCAGATGATAGGGCAGTTTCCTCCAGTCTCTGCCAGAGAAAGCTCAGAACTGGAATAAGAAAGTGGGTTTGCAACACACACACACACACACACACACACACTCCCCCTCCCCCAGCCCTCTGCTGTGGCCTTAACTCTGTGAGGAAAACAAGACATAGTCACAGTTTCACTAAGAGTAAGGCTGTGCCTCCTGCATGGCTGGGGCAGGCGAAAGGGAAACATTGCCAGGCTCCTTGGAGAACTTAGCAAAAATGCAAGCCTGGGCTCAGGACTCCCCAGCCTCTTACCCTGGCGCTGTCCTTACACTGAGATTCAGCAGGACTCCCCACCCCACCCACCCTGGGCACTCCCCAGTAAAATCAGGTAGGAAAAAGCCTCCGGTTTGAAGCCTCTTTATTTGTGCCTCAGAATCAGTCTGGTGCCCCTGGCATCAGGGAAGGGAGTGGAAGGAACAGTTTCTCTTTGTTGCTCTTTTCTTCTGTCTGCTTTTTGGGTCACTTCTGAGCCTCACTGGCTGAGCCAGGAAGGCCAGTCTGAGAGGCCCAGGACAAGGATGTGCAGTGGGCCAGGGCCCCTGCCCCTGGAGGGGCCTGTGCTTCTCTGGGTGGGGGAGGCCGGGCAGGGGAGAGCCGGGGTTAGCACCATTGGATGAAGGGTTTAGCCCGAGTAGGGGCTAGAGGGATGCACAACCACAGAGGGCTAGCAGCAGCTGGTAGGAAGGGGAGGTGGTGGTGCCAGGGCCCTAAGTGATCCTTTGTATCCTGTTTTGTGTCGGGTCTAGTGCTTGCCCCCAGCCGAATATGCCCCCCCATTCTCCAAGGCACCAGGAGGGAATCAGGCCTTCTGGGGCCAGGGGGCCACCTCGGACCCACTCCCTGATCACAAAACTGTGCCATAGGGGTGGGAACTTCAACTTCTGGCTGCCCAAGGAGAAGCTAAGACCACCCTGAGACCCAGGACGGGCGTGGGGGCTGGAGGAGCCGGGCACCCCGCTAAGTGCACTTGACGCTGAAATGTCGGGGTGGGGAGGGGCTGGGCCCCCCACGTGCTGGTTTGTGTCTGGGACAAAGCAGCAACACAGCACGTGGCGGGCTTTGCTGCCCTCCAGGGGTGAGAGCAGAGATGCAAAGGCTTGGGGGTAGTGTCCCAGTGTGGGGTCGGTGAGCGGAGAGGACCAGCCAGAAGGAGCAAGGGATGGGCACAGTGCTCCTGTGAGGATTCGTCTTCCCTTCAGAATCATCTACCTCGCCTTCAGGTCGAGGAGGAGCGGATTAGGAGTCAGGATACAGCGAAGCAGGGGGGCCGGGCCGTGCCAGTCAGCTCCAGGGCTTTGTCCTGGAAAGCTACCCTGCGCCCACGTCGAACCCCTCTCCATCTCGAGCCTGGTGCCCTGCTGCTACACCTCCGAGGTGTCGGCTCCGGACTCCAGCCGCAGCTCTGCAGGCCAGCCGGCCAGCCTGTCTCTCTGGGGTCCCAGGTCCCGCGGGGGTGGAGTGGTTGAGGGGCCCGGCAGGGGGCGCTACTGCTCGGTCAGCGAGAGTCTCAGGATGCGCTCCAGTTCCTCCTCCTCCTGGCGCGCGCGCCGCCGCCGCTCCTCTTGCTCCTGGGCCGACAGCTCCATGGCCAGCCGCAGCTGCTCGTCGTAGCTCCGAAACACGTGGCCGCCCGAGCCTCGGCCCGGACTGGGTCGAGGACTGGGTACCCGCGCCGTGGGTGCGTGCTGGCGCTGCGGCGTAGGCGGGGCGCTCCTAGGGGCGGGGAAGATTCTTCTAGCGCTCAGCCGCTGGGAGCCAGCCCAGGTGCCTGGGTGAGGTACTGCACAAAGGCCACAGGCCGAGCCAGTAGCCACCCTTTAGGGGAGGCGTGCAGTGTTACATCTAGGTAGGGCCTAGTAGAGTTCCAGTGTCATCTCCCAGTGTGACATGGTGCTGGGTACTCTGTGCGTGTGTACTGGGGAGGGGTGGTGAGAACAGGCGTCTCCAAATGCGCTTCAGCCTACCGGGCACTTACCTGTCCTGTCGGCGACCCTCGTAGGACATGGGGTGAGTGCCTGGTTTGCTGTTGGTTAGCGCCTCCCAGATGGTGACCTGGAGCGAGGAGCCCATTAGCTGTGCGTCCCCGCGCTCCCGGGCCCGTTGAGGCTGTGGGACGCACCTGGTCATACTCACTGCCTGCCTCAAGCAGGCTCTGCTGGATGGCGAACTGCAGCAGGTCGTCGTCGTCGTCGCGAGTCGCCGCCTCCCGCTGGCCACCCAGCACGCTGTAGCCTCGGGGGGCTTCGAACAAGGCTGGGGAGATCTCGCAGCCACGGCACGAGGCTGAGGACGCGAGGCTGCCGGTCATGCGTGGGCCGGGCCTCCAGAGCGCCGGGGCGGGGAGGGAAGGAGGCTGGCTGGGAGCGAGCAGGAAGGAAGCTGGGGGTGGCAAGGCACGGGGCGCGGAGAGCCTCACTCGTGGAACTGGAGCTGCTGACGCTGGAGGAGTCGCTGCCTGGGGAAGGGGTCTCACTGCTGGGGCTACCTCGCACCGAAGGCACCGGCTCGTCGCAGCCATTGAGGTTCCCGAAGGTGATGCGCGCATTGAGGATGTGGAAGATCGGTATTTCTGAGGAGGAGTGAACCATCAGGCACCGCCACCCACTCCCTCATACCTCAGGCCGGCACCCCTGACCTCATCCAAACCCCAGACCACTGCCCAAAAGGGCGGAAGGGAAAACTGGCTGTGGGGTCTCACCAATCTTGACGGGAAACCCTGGAGGCAGTCGCAGGGTGATGAAGTCCCGGAGCTTGGCAAAGAGGGCATTGCTAACCGCCATGAGGTCAATGATGGGGGCCACCTGCTCACACAGGGACAGGGGATGCTCCTCACACAGCCACAGCTTGGCCTTGAACCTGCCCCCCAGACCCCAGGGGTGAGGGACGCTGCAGGACGCCATGGCCTCCCGGCACCTCCTGGAGCCCCCATCCTGTCCACCCCTCCCCAGCAGGAGCAGGGGGCCTCACTTCTGTGTCTTTGTGGTCAGTTCCATGGGGCGGCCCATGTCCCGGTTGCCAAGTTCAAAGTTGGGGTTGAAGTATTCTTCTGCAGTGATGGCAGTGGGGTTGGCTTGGCTCAGGGTCTGAGTGATCAGGGTCTGTCCACAGGAGAAGGGGCCTTAAGCCTCTCACAGTCCCTTAGGCCAGGTCAGCCAGTTGACACATAGGGCCCCCAGCTCTCTCCTTGCCCGTGTGGTAAGGCGTTAAGGCAAAAGAGGTCCACACAGGCCATGCTAAGCAGGAAACCCTCCAAACTTCCCCGAGTCACATCTGCACCCCTAGACAAAATAATGCCCCTGTACACACTCACCCCATTTTGGGGGCCCCCATGCTGCTCAGCAATTCCCAGGAAGGACTGGAGAGGTGTCTTACAGCCTACAAGAAACATGGTATGTCAGAGGACACTGCATTCCCTACACAGATAGGTGGCAGAAGTGATGGTCCCCAAGTCCTAGGGGTCAGGCTGGTGACTGGGGAGTGGGGCTGCTCACCTACAGCACATAACCAGGGACGGACCTTCATCTAAGAGAGACTGGGGACTCCATGAGGCAGGGCCAGGACCCCTGGAAGCATAGCGGAGTCCCAAGTGCCACAATCCAGGTTGGTGACATGACAGTAAAACACCTCCCTTTTGGCAGTTTGAGGGTAAGCATGTGTGTTTCCTCTGCCACTTACAAGTATGTTACTGACTTTTTTTTTCCTATGAGGTAGGAGTTATGTGTTTCTACTTGAGACAGGTTAGCAGATGCCCGGAGAATCAGGTGTGGTGTCAGTGGACCCACGGAAGCAACTTCCCCTCGCTTTCTACCCAGATTTTGTCCCACTAGAGTAAAATAACCAATAAATGGCATGTGTAACATTTTTCCTCCTTCTGAGTACAATGCAGACATTAGCAATCAACTGTGGCCTGCCTTCCCACTGATCCCAAGCGAGCCCTTTTAGAATCTTCTCAGCAGTGCAGTAGCAGCTGCTACCAATCATCGTGGCTCGGCACTTGGACTGAAATCCATTGACCTGAATAAACCATCCAGGCTCTTACTGAGCTGCCAAAGAGAATACTGAGGACTAAGGGAGAAGTTGGCTCCTTCAGCCTCACAGCACCGCCCTCTCACACCCCAGTACCTTTGACCTTGCCCTTGTGCTGTTCTGAAAGATGCTCTGTCCGGGTCCGGGTGATAAGCTCCACATTGGATGCCCCATATACCTGAAGACAAAGAGGGAAGGGCTAAGAAATGGTTCTAGTAGTCCCACTTAACAGAATTCTAAGCATTCCCTGCAATCACAGGTCCTGGAGGGGCTCTTTGCTCCAGTTCTGAAGTTCTGGGGCAAGTAAATATATTCAGTTGTTCATTCACTCACTTATTCATACAACAAACATTCTTTTAAGGGGGAGTTATATGCCAGCCACTGAGGTGGGCATCAGGGTTACAGTGTTGAATAAGCCAGATACAATTCCTTCCTCCATGAGGGCCACATTCTAGTTGGAGAGACAAGGAAAGGTACACCTATAACTCAGTGTGACACATATCTTGGTAGGGGGTAGCAAAGGGCCTTATCCCAACCTACAGACCCAAGGAGGGCCTCCTGGAGACCGACAGGGTGCACCAAAGTACCCATTTGCACCAAAGCTGGGAGCACTGGCCAGTTCCTTCACTCACCAGCAGCATCACATGCTGGGCAAAGTGCAGGTTCCAGAGTGACAGACCCAACCTTAAGGGGAAGGCCCGGCTTTGGAGTCAGGCAGCCAGAGCCAGACCCCCAGCTCTGCCACCTACAGCTGTGCACATTGTAGTTATTTACAATGGCTTTACAAGGTCATCGAGCCACTCCAAGCCTCCATTTCCTCATCATAGAAGTGGGCCAGTACCCCCTACCTTGCGAGTTGTAAAGAGTAAACTGGGTACCAGGAAAATGACTCAGGAAGTATCTGGAAGTAGGAATAGTGATAGCCTCTGCCTGAAAGTTAGGGTAAGCAGTACATAAGGCATGTGTGTGCTCACTCGTGCACACGTGTGTATGTCACCGCACACTGGTATAAGTGCCAGAGCAGTACTTGGAACGTGAGTTCAGCCACTCTCATCCAGGTGACTGTTAGCCCGACACCCCTTCCTCCTGCCGCCTATGCACCTCCAGGGCTGGGGAGGGCTGGCCAGGAAACCCCTGCCAGTTTGCTGCAGACAAGAGCACAGAGGCCCTGGCATGGGAGCTGCGGCCTCACCTTCGCTTCATACCCGTTCACCATCTCTGTCTTCTCACTGCGCCAGCCCAGAATGCCAGTCTTATTCCTGGGGAGGTAGAGCCGTCCGGGTGAGGCAGGCACCCCGCCAGGCTGCATCCTGG